ACAAACTGTGAAAGTGTGCGTTAATGTGTTGCTTTAGAATTGGTACCTCTTAGAGAAGAAGAGCTTAAGGTGGGGAAAGGAAGGCAGGAAAGGAGGGACGGAGGCACTGATGGTGGAAGTTAGAGAGAGCACGAAAAGACGAAGAGAGTTACACTAATTCATCTTCAAAGGCAAGTAAATTGCGTAATTTATTACAAACATGAGCGCAGTTTTCAACACTGTTTACTGAAATAAATAAAGTAAAAATATTCTTGAAATAAATCAAAATGGACATTATAACTTAAATTGTTGTCCAAGACTTATAAAGTTAAAAATATTGTTTTAGAATTTTTGAATATTTTTACGTAAAAGCGAATTATTAAGGAGATGAGCTTCTCACTATATTTCTACCTGTTATAGTACGACAAGAATTTTTAAAAAACTGTAATTTCTCTTTTTTTCATTTCGTCGTTCTCGTAGCATTCAGACAATATTTCTCCAACTACACAAACTAGATTCATTAATATAAATAAGGACGCTTATTCGATTGAATTCAAACACCGCAAATCAACGAAACTGGAGGGTGAAGAAGTCTCTACTACAATTTTCACAGACAATGTACAGATAACCACACCTGTAAGCCTTATACAGGAAGTGATTCAACGTAGTTCCCAGGTCCTCTCATCTTCCCGCCCTACCGGAAGAGCGGAAAGATGAGAGAACCTGGGAACGAGGTTGGATGTGATTCTAATCTAGATGCTAAATATACACAGCTTTAATCCAGATGAACGACCTAAATTTCTGGTCATGTAGTGAGGGAAAAATAAAAGACACCAGGTCTCTTGTTTGAAGATTACCTTCTCACTGTAAAAGAAGGTTGTATAGATGACAACCAGGATGTTTCGTCCACCAAACACTCTAATCTCTGACAATGGGTTATCAAACTGCTCCACATGCTATGCACTGCGAGCAAATGGCGATTACCTGGCAACACAAAAACAAGTTAGAAAGCACGAACTGCTAAGGGACTGGGAAAATGTGTTTGTTGCAGTCTGGGTTCGTAATAGACAAAACCCCATAATATAAAATAGTGCGTTTTCATTCACGTGGCCAGCACACATGCAAATTTATTGGAACAAAAGGAAGTGTTTACGTAAGAAAAGAGTTCAACTCCCACAGGATTGGTTTGGTACACCCACATGGCCGCCATTTCACTGTTTTGGAACACCAATATGGCTGCCGTGACGTCATGTGGAAACGCTCCATTGTGGTAATGACTAGACAACAGAGCCAGCAATGTAGCTTGGGAAATGAGAAACGCGATGCCTGTTGTGCGTCCTACGACCGCGGTGCATTATTTTAACACATTTCAAAGAAGGAAGACAGGAGTGACGAAAGTCAAAAGACAAATCAAAAACTGAAGGACAAATACCATGAACAGAATTCCTCACTGGAAACTCACAAACTCAAGCTAATTCTGGATTGCGTTGCCACCACCCCTGCTCATACTGGACCTAAGTAGTGTAGAGTGCGCATGGCGTAATGAAAGTTTCCGAGCCCGCCGTTCGCAAAACTATAGCAAGAACTCACCGATTATCACAAGCCCGTGCTTTGCACGAGTTAGAGCCACATTCATTTGACGTTCGTCTATTAAAAAACCAAGATGGCTCGTTAACCACTGTTGGTTTTCTGCACTGCCTGTGAGCTGCTCCACTGGCAAACTACGAACCGTGGACAACACTACGAAGTCTCTCTCAGCACCTAGAAATTAAGTGCCAACAAGCTGTTACTTCATGTATACGAATTTTGTTGTCAAACTACCCTTGCCCCTTCCGCCTCCCCGTAAGTCATCCTTGCTTCTTTCTAGTTTAGTAACCTATTTCTCTAATATTTTTCTGTCTTAGTTAACGTATTAACCTTCGCTTTCTGTCTCATTGAAGGTAATTTTACAAGTAAATCTAGTACTCTTTTTGTGGGCTCGTAAGAAAAAGATTTGAGTACCGTAGCAACATTAGCTATCGCTAAGGCTCCTAAAGGGACTTTCTCTTTTCAAGAACTTTTGAATCTGAAGGAGCGGGACGGGAGAACTGCCACAGAGTAGTGGGTTTATTTAAAATCGTAAATCAGCAAGCACACATTTAATAGATTAAGAGACTGTGTAATGTTAATTTCTGTCGCAAAAAGGTAAGAATGAAAATTATTTTTGGCGGATAACTTTACGACTATATAATAATATACCTAAAGGCAATTATTTTCTGTTCATAAATTGTCTTGGCATAACATCATGGAAAGGCGGTGTTAACTTGGTACAAAGCTGGACGGAAGCGAGTTCCTTGTGTGACTTTCATTAAACTACGACAGATTTCGAGCTAACTATGAGTTCTACGCGTTCAAACCACTGGAGCCTAAAACATATTGACATAAGAAGGACGTTGGGTCGTTATGTTTGCAGTGTGAACATCCTGACATAATGACATAAAGAAAAAAACTGATCTTTTCGTCATGTCTTTATGTCGATGTTCACGTTACCGACAAAAGCGATTACGTCATCATGTTGTTTTGTCGCGAGTGTGAACCAGGCCTAACCGGCCAACAGGGAGGGTGAAAGGGGGATTCTTTCAGAGGCGAGGCATAAAAGCCGGGCCGTGCAGGGGGCGGGGGGATTAATAAAATTTTTACGATCGCTGAAAACATAAAAATTACCTTGGCCAGCAAAGACGGAGAGAACTTCTGAATTACACGAGTTTAACGAGGTCTGAAGCGCTCGGGATATTTTAGCTCTTTGGGCAGAGTACGGAGTAAGTACAGATATCTGTGAGGAATTTATCCCATGGGACATCAGGTACCTTACAACTCGTAACTACACAAGAAAATCAGAAAAAAAGACAACATTAACACAATAACTCAGGCTCCTAAGAATAAATACCTCAAACAGGGCTGTCAAGACGTTTTCAATAGCATCCCACATTTGAAAGTAAGCGGTAGACTACTTTTCGAGGGCAGAAGGTACTAGCCTTGTAGGGGAGTCTGCAGGCATGTTTCCCAGGCAATTCTGAAATTCAGACGCTTTGAAATGCTGTTTTCAGCGTTTTTCAGTCAGTATTAATTTGGGCCTAAAGGAACAATCAAACCCATGACTTTTTTTTTGCCGTGTTTTAAAATTAACAACTTTTACTCCAAATCTCAACGGTCTCAATCAGAAAATCTTTCATATATGTAATCTTCCTATGAATTTGGCGTTAGCATTTCATTCTGCTCTGCGGAAGACGAGAAGACCTTGGTAGTTTTCTCCTTTGCTTTTTTTTTCCTTCCATAACGCCCGGATAATGCCATTGCCTTGTTGATTACAGCTTCACATTCTTTTACTGGTGGCCCACTTATGGAAATATGTAGCTTCTACAGTTTTCCAGTGTCAGAGTTAGAAAAGTCCCGATTAGAGTGACATGAGTCACATGACCAAATTGGACAAACCGTATACAAACAACACTTACCACTGCCTCAACCTCTTGAGGGTTGTGCTTAGACTCCTCACGGCCCTCGGGTCCCGTGTAGTCCTGGGGACTTTCCTCAGTCCCCATGACATGACAAAAGACGACACGAACGTGTGACCCCCCGGGCCAGAATCCTGGCAGAAGTCCAACGGAAACGTGTTCTGGGCTGGTAAGGTGAGAAGCGTCCTTCAGCACACCTTGATAGAAATGTTGTGATGGAAACTCCCTGATACTAGGATGCTAGTAAGAGAAAGAATTAGAAATACAGGTTATTGACCAAGCGTGAGGTCAAGATGACTGGATATTGGCCAAGTTCTTTTTTTTTTCCGTGTTTGTTGGCAGAGACAGAGTCGAAGTCCATAAACTCGCAAAAAAAAGAGCGAGGCCAATATCCAGCCATCTTGACCGAACAAGCTTCGTCAATAAAGGATTTATTATATGGCTTTGAAAAAAAATTTTCCTTACTGGGCACAGCGGGTAGTCCCGAGCGGGCAAGATAGCGCCATCTTGCCCGCTCGGATAGCCAATCACAGCGCTAGGATTTGGCTCATCTTATAGTAAAAGATATTAATAGGACCATCGATGAAATACGCTTTCACAACTCATTGTCGCAAGACGCCTAGCAAGCTCCCCTCTTCTCACTAATGAGGCCCTTCTCCCCTACCACCCCCTCCCTTTTCCTTCACAACCAAAGTCAATAAATAATAAACTTCAATGCCGGTGCATTTTTACAGTACGATTTCATCATATCTATAATCAAGAAAAACCGTAATAAATCACGAATATAACTAATCAAAGTGCAGAACGAAAAAAGTAATAGTAGATTAACGACCTTCCTGTGTTTACTAAATTATGCGACTACCTATCTCTATTACTGGTACACATGGGCTAGCTGCCTTTAAATTTGCGTACAGAATGCTTTCAGGACAGTAAACATATCACAGCATTATCAATATTTCTTGGTACTGGAGACACTTACCATACGATATTGTGTCTGCAACATGCATGAAGAGTAAGTCTTGCCTGCAGAAGGTTCGTGAAACAACACTTCAAACAAGGACTTGGAAAGACCAAGCTTACGGGGAGCAGAGCTCATGACCACGGCACCCAATTGCTTGTGGTCACCTAGCAACACGACTTGCTGAAGCCGCTGACCAGCTGTACTAAGGGCCACTAAGCTCTCTGCCTCCAAGCACATGCTGGCTTCGTCTATTATCACGTGACTGACACGCGCATGGCGCTTGACACGTGAACTACCTGCCTCGATGCACGTGCACAGGATCACTTCAGATCCGCTCTCAGCAATTTCGTAACCTTCCGCTTCATCTAATGCCCGGTGAAACTCTTGGACTTTAAGAGACAATTCCTTTCTGTTTTTCTCGTGATCTTTCACAGGACCGTTAGCAACAGTTCGCTTCCTCAACTGCATCACTTCATTTTCGATTAATTTAACTCTGGCCGAGTGTGGATTGCTCTGATTGCGGATTCGAAAGTGCAGAGCGATCCCTTCACACGTCTTGTCCATGACACTTTGTGCGGATGACAAGTTTGTTCTAAGAGACTGTTTGAAAGTTTGGTCCTCGATTGTTCTTCCATAAACACGAAGGACCTTCACTCCGGGCACGGTTTGCAGCATTCCTACAAAAAATACCACAAATTCAAGCATCCATAATTAAGTAGATTTGTTTTTATCAACTGGGTTGATAATGTGAATTGGCCACCGTAAAGAGATTCGAAAGCTGACGTTTCGAGCGTTAGCCCTTCGTCGGAGGGAATCCAGTTGAGTTTAGATTCGCTCCGACGAAGGGCTAACGCTCGAAACGTCAGCTTTCGAATCTCTTTACGGTGGCCAATTCACATTATCAACCCAGTTGATAAAACCAAATTATCTTGTTATATTCCCCATCGACGCAGCACCACAGTCTCCAGTCTCTTTAGAAACTTACCTCCTCTATTCATAATTAAGTAGGGCGTCTATCTATGCGCTATTAATTTTCATTATTTTATTTCCAGTTATAATCATGTAAACACATTACTTCTAGGAAAACAATGGCCAATCTCCTCTGCGAGAAGGGAATCATGGTAGTTGTATTCATCATCTTGGACTGGATATTTGTTTTGATGAATACAACTACCATGATTCTCTGCAGGCGAATCTCAACCTCGTTCCCAGGGTCTCTCATCTTACCGCACCCTGGAGCGAGCGATGAGAGAGATGAGAGACCCTGGGAACTAGGTTGGGCGAATCTCAGAGACGGAATTGGCCACTCAAAATTTAAAGAACATTATTTTGTCGAGTTAGGGAGATCATTTTTTTGTTTTTAGTCAGCACGAGGCTCTGGGGAATAAACACCACAAACTCAGTAGTTATTCCCCAGAGCCTCGTATCGAGGTCTATTGTTTTAGGCTGAATTTTAATATAGCGAAATTGATCTATTAAAAACCGCTCTATACGTTAACAAGTTCAAATTTTAATTTCCTATAAGGGAGTCTCCTCAGTCCCCTTTCTTCTGACAACAAACCGGAGAGAGAGGGCACTGGGATCGAAGCTGACTACAACCGACGTCTGCGTGAATCTCGTTCCCAGGGTCTCTCTTCTCCAGCCCCTGGGGCGAGAGAGGGCTATGAAGAAGAGAGAGCCAGGGAAGGAGGTTTCGTCAGTTCAGGAGACTACGCTTACTTGCAGCAACATCTACAGCATGGTTCGATGGCGCACAGAACAATACTTGTCCTCCATTGCCCCGTTTTCTGTTCACTGCTGCAAACTGGTAGGCGATCTCGACGCCAGTCCAGGTCTTCCCTGTACCTTGAAAAGCAAAACACAACCAATTGTTTATCATTAACCGCTTCAAAACCCGAACTAATGGTGGGAAAACATAAAAAAGGATGTGTGGTGGCAAAACAAACAGCCCCCGGCCCCGGAGTAAACAGTTTAAACGTAAATAGTGAAGTAATTCAAAGTCTCAAACATTCATGGTAATGCCAGTCGTGTTAGTCGTTCACTTCCGCTGAGTTGTCTTTTAAATACCTGGTGGTCCTTGTATCAGCGTCAATGGTGAAGCCAAGGCATTCATAACTGCTTGTTCCTGTCCGGGGTTTAGAGTAAGAGTCGTCTTGATGTCCTCTTTTGATTGCCCTATAAGCCGGGGATTCCGCGCAAGGTACTTGGGAATGTCCCTTCGCAGGAACACGCTCCTGATAAGTTCCGTGGCGGTGCCAAGGTTTTTCACTGCACTTATCATACGGCGGAATGACAACCCTCGGGCGATAACCTCCATGCTACAAAGCCACGAAGTCTGATCCAGGTTATCAACGGAGAAACCGTCAGGGACCTCCACCAGGTTGATTTGAATTAAGTCCCTCTCTTCAGTACTATCCACATTACTGACACAGCAGTGGAAGATACAAGGTGAAACATGACTTCTAAGACATATGAAGTCTCCACTAGACAGCTGTAGCCCACGGGCTATACACAAGGTTTTGGACAACGTGAACTGCCCAACATCTGCGATGAAAGTAAACCAAATCACCATTTAAACGATTTAAATGTTTGTTAATAGAACTGAAACGTCTAGGTGTATAATTGAGCAATCGTCAGATCTCCCATGGCACACATGATCGGAAAGATTTGAAACACCTTCCAAAAAGTCTTAGTGAGCAGTGTTTATCGACTGGCGAAATAAATATATAAAAAAAATTAAATTAACAGCAAGAATATCGCAGGTGGACAAACCGGAATTTTTTTTAGCCCCAAGAGTGTGCTGACAGAGGATTCCACGGTATTCCCTTTAACAAGTGCATTAAGATGAAACTAATACGTCCATAGAGTAAATACACTCTGTACCGTTGTCACTTGTTAAGTTCTTTTATCACCTTTCACCAGGCATTTCTGAGAATTTTCTAATGGGTTCGATATTATTTGACTAGTCAAAATCTGAGTGTGTGTTCATGCCCGCGTGTGTGCGTGTTCATGCACGCGTGTGTACGTCAGTGGGAGACGCCCTTTCCACGCGTACAACCTTGACTTGCTATTGTGTAAGTTGATTGACGTGACATATATTATTGTTTTTCCTACGTCTCCCACCCACGCACACACGCGTGCACATACACGTGCGCACGTAGGCGCACACGCGGGCACGGACACACACTCAGATTAGTCAGTGTGAGAAACTTACTGTCATTCCACTGCACCGACACATTTTGAAGAATGACTTGCACCGTGGAGTCTGAATTAACACTAGAAGTGGCAGCCTCGCACAGCAACAGTGGCAGCATAACTGCTTGATACTCTCGCACATCACTGTAGACTGCTTTTGTGGATGACATCTGTGAAACTCCAAATGACTTGGTGGGATGACGCCGATGCCTCAGGCAACACATAATGGAATCAGTAAATTTAACAGCCAGGATAGTCGGCCTGAGCAATCCACGATGCATTTCAGCGCCCAAGTAAACGGAGATTGCGTCACCTCTGCGGTAGAACTTCGTGTGGGCGTTCAAATCATCATGCAGTGCAAGTGAACTCATGGCAATGGATTCTTCAGGTGAGTTGTTGCCACTGGTATTCAAATGCGTGTTTTCAAACGCAACCACAGCTTTCGTGTCGATCATTTGACGCCGTTGGTTCATCTGATGGAGGTCTTCAGCACGGAATTCTTGCAGGAATTCAAGCCAAAGTTCCTTAGGTATCTTGAGAAACTGTCGAGCAACCCCGGAAGAAGCTTCAAGTTCAGCAGAAGAGAATACGTCATAGAGGGCGTCACCTTCTTGGCTGGACTCTTTTCTGAGACTTTGGCCTGTTACGTTAATCTCCAGAATGTTCCAGCTCAATACCAATTCCTCTTCCTCTTCCAGCCACTCCCTGGATGACGGTTTGCAATCATGTATCCTAACATTCCTGTTAAAAGAAGAAACGTGATCCACTTCGTCCCCTCCTAACAGCAGGTAGTCTGGCGTGAGGCAATCGACCTTGGCTACTCTCCACTTGGAGTCTCTTCTTAGCACATCTGCCCTGGACACGGCTGCAAGTTGGTTCTCAAAACAATCTACACGTGTAGTCATCATTTGGCACTGCTCACATATGCTCTGCACTTGGTCTTCCGTGTAGGGCATCTCTGCGTCCTCGAGAACAGCCAATAAGATGCGATGAACAACAATGTCCATGTAACGACGTATGGGGGACGTGAAATGCGCGTATGAAGCTACATTGAGAGAAAAATGGCGCTGCAGGTCCGAAGAGAGAGTGGAGGAAACAACATAGCCACTTCGTTCTTGGACAGAGGCCAAACGACTCAGCACTTTACCAACACCGGACTGGCTGTCATGACGAAGAATGGAGAGAGTCACTTGTCCAAGGTCTTTTTCATCTAAGGCCGCCGATATTGTTTCCCATGTCTTTAAGTTAATGTTAACACACTCGTCGCTGCACTGCTGAGGTTCGTCACTCGGAGGTTTTCGTAAAGACTGCAGAGTGAAAAACTGACTTGGTTCCATACCTTGCTTAACACATGAGTCGTGAATATCACGCAAAAGGTGGGTCTTCGGAGGAAGTTGTCGGCGTAGTGGTACCAGCGTCTTGGCGAGAGGGTTCTGAAGCAGTCGTTCGGCAATTGTACGGTTACTCTGAAACATAAATTCTTCCACCATCTTTTCAGAGGACAGCACACCACATTTGGTGACATCAGGCTCGAATGAGACATAGCCTTGACGAACTCTTCGCGTCCACATTTTGAAGGAAAGTTGACCCAAGATTCCGATACCCTTCTGCACACTCTCTGGGACACCGTCGGCCTTTTTCCCAACAAGAATATCCTGACACTGATCAAAGGTTAACTTGCAGCAAGACTTCACAACGCTGCGACAAATTTCAGGCCGTTCCACCTCTATTCCGTCTTCATTTAAATGAAACATAATTGAAATGGCCAGTCTTTCTTCATCAGGAAGCAAACTGCATAGCTCTGTGCTAACATAGGAAGGCAGCATTGGATTGTGGTAGGCCACTTCGGTGCTTCCATACACAGAGGTTCCATGCGAGAGGGCAGCCTTGTCTAAATTGGAATTCTTGGCTACGAAGAAACTGGCATCTGTAATGTGAACACCCACTTTATACGTTCCATCAGTTTCCCAGCAAACACTCAGTGCATCGTCAACTTCAACACATGATGCGGGGTCTATGCTGAACACATCATCAAAATGCATCCGTTTGGAATGCTCTGCCTCAGGAATCTTCCATCCTGGAGGAAAATCCTTCTTAGCTTCATTCTGGATTTTCTTTGAATGGCTTCTATGAATGCCATGTTCTGCAAGAAGGATCGGGATGGACAAACGTGGATCTCCTCCTTCTGTGAAATAGTGCACAACAAAGCCAAGAGGGTACCTGTAGCTTGCTCCCCACTTCATGAGCTGCACAAGAAATAACTTTCCTTCCGTTTCCGCAACAAAACTTGTAAAATTTATTCTGCCATCCCTCATGGCGAAAACAGCAACGCCAGTCTGGCCTTGATGATCTCTGCTTTGTAGGATGACAAACTTGGAGTTGCTCCTGTTGATGGGCGTCATCATGTTCTTATCTTGGTTGTCCAGCCTGCAAACTACCTTTCGAGAATGCATTTCTTTCAGAATTGCCATGACTTTTCCTTGAGGATCCGCTGAACCCTGATGCTTGTGGTTGACGACTTCCACTGCAACTATGTCTCCATTGAATGCTCGGTTAATGTCAATGCGGCTATTGATGCGGATGTCGGGGCAGTCTGGGTCACAAACCTTGGCTACTGCCGTATTGCCATCGCTGAAGTTGTCAATCTGTAAACAACAAGCAACAAGTTCGCCTTTGGCCAGTTTGGATTGAGTCTCCTCCTTTCCTAGATGTTCCTCATTGATGGAGTAGCTCTCAATATAGACGGTGCTCTCACTGGGCTGCAGGATCCACCCCTGTAAAGGTGAAGTGTCCTGGCCTTCACTGGTACAAGTCGAGGCAGTTTCACTGGAAAGCGGCGAAGAGGTGTCCCTCGTTACCGTCTCCGAAGAAATAAGGCTTTCCTCAGCATTGTGGTCGCTTCTGGATGTTAGCGTTTCAAAAGCTTTAATATAATCTTGGACAATGGGGTCCTTCTGCTGGGCACTGAACCACTCTTCTGTATCCGAATCTTCAAAGTCATCCTCTCCGTAGATCTTGTTCGAGTCAGATGGGTTTGGTCTCTCAGAATCATCACCTCTTGCACCACCAACGTGGGCACTTTCAGATTGCTCACTGCTCGCGAGGCTGCTAAGAGAACTAAGCAGTTTGGAACGATCCTCAACGAGATTAGCTTCTTTCTCAGCAAGGCTGATCTGCCTTTGAATGTTTTCTCGAAGAGCGTGGTGAGCTGGTGAATGAAATGATGCTTTTAACTTGTTTAAATGATCTTTTTCTTTTGTGATCATTTCCTTTCGGCTGGTCAAGTTAGAATCAAGAGACAACACCAGCGCCCTCAGTGATTCATCTGGTGAAGAAGGGTCTGGCAGAGGTTTGGTCTGACGACTTTCTTCTTGCTCTCTACTGGGCATTTGCATCACTCTGAGGTTTTCATAGCTCAAGTTGGGATGGACAACAGTTCTTGCAGTCTGCTGAGTTGATGTCATGTGTTCTGGCACCTTTTGTTGTGCAAATACCCCGACTTGAGAGTTATTGGGCACAAGGTGTTGACCTCTGGGCCAGGGAGCCAATGGATGTGGCAAGCCCCCTTGTTGTGGCAGATGAAGCTGTGGTATAAAACCATTCAATGGATGCTGCTGAAAAGGATTTGGAATTATCGGAACAGAATGCAAGGGGAATGGAACAGCTTGCGCAGGGATTCCAAAAGGACCAGGATTTCCAGGAAAAATTGGCCGTCCTGCGAAGAGACCAGCATTCTCATGGATTGGACCAATTGGCAAGAAAGGAAGGTTTGAAGTAGGGGCTGGGATAGCTTGTCTTGGGAAAAGAGAACCTAGTACTTCTGGTGCTACATTGACAAGATTGTTGCAGGGTGAACCACTACCTCTGTGTACATTTAACGCACTTGGAATTTGCTTAGACTGTGATGTGTTGTTTTCTCTGTCATTCTTTGCATCCTTGGTCATTCTTGTCACAGTGTCAAATGGCAGGCGGTAGTGAAAGGTTCCATTGCTGTTACACTTGCTGAGGATCGTCTTCCAACACACTCGGCATTCTCCTACAGAGCAAAGAGCCACAGGATCCCCAATCACAACAAGGCGGTAGCGAGCCCTCGTGATGGCTGTGTTTAGCAACTTACAATCAGACAGGAAGCCCAGGTTCTTTCTGCTTGTTACATTCCCTTTTGTACCACTTAAGGTTCGCACAGTGCTGATAAATAGTACGTCAAACTCTAACCCTGCAAAACCAAATAAGGTGTAAATTTGTTAAATAACTTTTCAACTCCAGTGCCCAAAACCACTTGGCGATGCCGCCTCCTTAATCACCATCGACTGATGACCAAATTTTTACTTGACTCTGAAGGTAACTCACACTCAGGTTGTTGAAACACCGGTCAGCAAGAGCAAGCCTTTCAAACATTACCCTCAGGTGGATGGTCACACTGGAAGAATCACAGCGACTTCTCAATTATGCTTTCCCCCAGGGGTGCTTGTCAGAAATGTTATAGAGACATCTTAATTTTAGGAGCAAGTCTCAAATTCATTTTTATCCAGAGGCAGTACAAGTTGTTAGTATTACCCTGGGACTCCTGGTCAGGGTGTAGCACATTATTTTTACAGCAAATATGATTATGAAATTACCTTGCACATTATTCACACCTTCCACCTGAACACCTCCTAAAAACTTGGCCCGAAGAAGTCTCCTGATTTCTCTCACCTAGCAAAACGACAATAAATATTTGAAAAATACTATGAAGAAATCGGTCCAAGTTTCCCTTCAACTTTGGTGTTTTCATTATTTAGCTCAACATACAAGAATGACAACTGTTTTGATTTTGTTTTTGTTTTTGTTTTTTTTTGCACATTGCTTTGTCTTTCTACACAGATCGTACTTCGGTAAATCAAGAGTAAGAACATACCAGGAATAACAGTTACTGAGTTGTCTGCAATGGACTAGCATTGCATCCAAGAGAGCAGCAATACAAAGGAATTTAAGATAGATTCAAAGTCTATGGATTATAACTATACACAATTCAGTAACTGCAGCATGTTCTCACTTTTGGTCCTCAGAAGTTGTTCATTTCTTGAGCCTTGCCGTTGTCTCTCTGCGACAGTACGTAATCCATCGTAGGAAAAAAGATGGCGGCTGTACATCTTACCACAATGCCTTGCAAACCTAACACAGCCTATAAGGCACTAAGAAAGCCAAATGTTTATAATATTTGTCCCTGTACAAAGGACATTGCGTAGCCTGGGTTTGAAGATTTTACAACGTTTCTGTACGTTTTTATAATCGTTTTTAAAGTTGTCGTGCGCTAAGAACTGTGGGTAAATGTACCAGTCGCCATCTTTTTTCCTACGGATGATTGGCTCAGTTTAAGCAATGCTTAGGTCTTCATTTCCCACATACGTCAATATTCTAATGGCATTTGGATGGAGGGAGGAGGTGCACAAATGCCAGTTTTTATTTAAACTTTTGTCTATTTGTCAGTTGTCGGGTAAATGTTGGGCCATTTGTCAGTTGTCAGTTAGCCCCATCCAGACCCTCTTCTAAACTTGTATATTATTTAGGAAGCCTGTGAGTTAATTTTGATAAGAGAATCAACTTTGTTCTGTAAGATTTTTCGCTTTGTTTGCTGTTCTACAGATAGCTGCGAAAAGACCAAGACCTAGTAAGAAGACTACAATGCAGAAACGTTCGTACTAGACCCAGACCCTTTAGCGCTGCACATCTAACTTATCTAACAGTAGCTGTGGAACCATTGTCTTCAGTCTTAAATTCCTCATTACACTGCAATATGCCATGGAAACAACAGTTTACCTAAAAGGAACTACGTCACGGTTTGCGCATTTTAAAAAGTTTAGCCTAAATATTTCAAGTTAGTCGTTTGTAATCCGTGTTAATCTTCTCCATCCTTAACCATCCTTGTTCCTCTATCTATTTTTCTATCTCAGTAAACTACGATTTTCAGATTTTATTCAATTTAAAGGTTATTTGGTATGAGGCCAAAATACTGTGGCTGAGCCCCTTTAAGCACTGACAGCTATCAGGCTTCGTACGCCCCTAGGATTAATCGGCCACAAGTAAGTTCTTCTTGGAAGAGGTCAATCACTGCAATGTTTCCCATACCTGAGTTGGATAAGGCGCCAGTACACAAATTCGTGCTGGATTTGCATTGCCCCAAACTTGAGCTGGCCAGAGTTTTATCGATTCTTCCACGCGGTCAGCAACTTCAGCAGCTTCTCCCCTGTTGAGAAAAGATGGTGGCTCATCTGCAATCTCTTCCTGACCATGGACGCCATAGAAGACTACTGAATACGGCAGACTGGCTGGGCGTTTTAGATTCGCAATGAGCGTGTCTTGATAGAACAGATGCGATGGTATACCCACGATGTCATCATAAGCACGGTAGTTTTGCAGTAACAGAACTTTCGATCTTGACATTGATGGGTACAATTCAGACAAACGCACCAGAAGAGAACGGCCAAGAGCCAGCCGTTGACAAACTTCAGACATGACAGGAGGACTGAGCTAGACAGTAAAGAGAAAAGAAAATCATACTTACTAACAAGAATCACTTGTTGAAAGTATGTTACAATTCTGACTATCGGCCGACTATTGGTCGACTGTTAACCGACATGTCCGCCGACACGTTGGTGGGATCGGGTCTTTACCTTTATAGACCCAATGCACATTTAATACAAAGACCTCTTATTGACCGAGTTCAAGGATGATACTGTAAGTTAACGATTCTTGTTTTTTCTCTTCCATTCTTGTTTTTTTCTCTTCAATTCACGTGCGCTTCAGCGAATTGCTTTTCAAACCGCTGTACAAAGAAAACAGTTTGCCATAAAGTAGAGAATTCATTTTTCTTAAGTCTGGCCAGGAAAAAAATTCAGTTCACTTTCACCAAAGCTGACCTATGCTCAACTTTGGCATGTGCATTAATCAAAAGTTCCGGGAACAGCTGCCCCAATTTATCAGCAGAGTTTTACAACAACCATTATGTGGTTGGAGCCTTTGGCCCCGTCCATACTACACTGAAGAAGTACCCCCGTCCTTTTTATATGAGTCCCCCCCCCCCCGGGACAGACCTCGCGGTCGGTCGATAATTTTACATACCTGTAGATGATCTCCTGCTAGGACTATCTGAGAATTATGACCTGCTAAGCACAAGGGAATGATCGTTTCTGCTTCCATGGCTTGGGCAGCTTCATCGATAAAGATATGCGTAAAAAATCCACGTGGCAGATCAAGTTTAGCTAGGGATGCTGCTGTCACAAGAGTTGTCACCACAATTTGATGGTTCATCATTGCTTCCTTGCTTGGCATGGCAAATTTTCCAGTGTTCAAGTCTAACAGACAGTACTGGAGAACCACATCAGAGACCGTACTGACAAAACGGTTTTCCCAGCAAATGCGGATGGGTTTAAATCTGGATGCTGATATCTTTGATTCTGTAAGGAAGGGGTGAAGGTGATTTTTGATGTAATGATCAGCAGCGCTGTTGGAGTGAGTGCACAGAAGGATTCTGTAATCTGCTTGACTGTGTAGCTGAGTAGAAATTAGCTCTTTGATAGCTTCCGCGATAGTTCTGGTCTTCCCTGTTCCAAAAGGACCCAGAATCAACAACGGAGGTCCAGGGTGTGGCGACAACATCTGTTTTAACGCATACATTTGAGACCTGTTCAACAGCTTATTACAAGAGTGATTTGACCACTGCTCATTGACTCCTTGTGGAACAGTTGGGAAGACTATGTCAAGGCTTACATTCTCCACAGCCCAATGCATATATTGGTAGGTGTCAATAAAGCGAAAACAAACAGAAGCTGGCAGTGGTCTTTTAGATTTCAACACTTTCTGAAGCTCACTGCTAGCTCGAAGCAAAACACGATTTTTTCTCAAACTCTCCACCACAACTTCATAGAGTATTGGGTTTGACATGCCGTGCGGTTGAACTCTAACCAGAGCATAACCTCCGCGACTGATCAAGAGATTGGCATCATCCATTAGATCTTCTTGAACTGGTAGAACAAGGGTAACTTGGGAAGGGTCGCTTGCACATTGCTGTGTACAGTGGAGAAGGTCTGTGCAGTGTATGGTTAACCTGGAGAAGAACAATGCAAAACCAGTAAAACTCATTTCTAAAACTCATTAATAACTCATTGAGTTTAAACAAAGAAAATTATGATCATTACAGTGTTTGGATATCTGATGTTAATAATTTATTACAAGCTGTAGTTTTAGATTGAGAAGATATATCAAACATGAAAGACAGTTTTTGACCACATTTCCAAACACCTCTAAGTTTGGAAAGGTGTTTGGAAATGTGGTCAAACACAGTCTTTTGAGTTTGATATATTACATGAAAATACACTTCACTTGCACGTTTATTTTTCTGCAAATCACACTCATTTTTATAAGAAAAGTTTTTATTATATGGCTAGCTCCGTGAGCAGGTAAGATGAATCAAATCCTGTTCTGTGATTGGCTACCCAAGTGGGCAAGATGGAGCTATCTTGCCTGCTCTGCATTACCTGCCATGTCCTGCAAGAAACATTTCCCCGAAAGCCATATAATAATTCCTTTATTGACCAAGCTTGTTCAGTTAAGATGGCTGGATATTGGCCTCGTTCTTTGTTTATGTACCTCTACTCCGTCTCTGTCCATGAACACACACACACACTTATAAAAATTGGCCAATATCCAGCCATCTTGACCTCACACTTGGTCAATAACCCATACATACGAGGACTCATTTTTGAAACAGAGGCAAAAAGCAACTTTCAAATGGTATATAACTTTTTTTTGGCCTGATTTTCTGAAGCATGAAATACTCAATTTGGATGACATTTGGCTGTTCAACATCAACACTAAGGAGAAACTTTGGAAATCAAAAAATCAACACGAGTACAAACATATTGCACCAACAGTACTGTATGTCAAATTTCACAGCCTTTTGAGATTTCTGCCACCCCTAAACAAATTGTTTGACAATGAGAGAGTTTTTTGAAAATAAAAACTAAGGAAACAGACAAAAAAATTGGCACAATTTTGCAATCAATTGTTTCACACTGGAGGTGGGGGAGGAGGGTCTTTAGCTCACAAATTACACCACCGGTTTTCCAGCAGTAGTTGGGTAAACCCATAAAATACTTGTTTTTTTTGTCTTGCCTTTGCTACATCAAACAGGCAGTACTTGAACATGTAATAAAGTAGCCTGGAAATGATTATAGAACCTTGTCATTTGGCGACGACGCTCAAATTCTTCAACGTGAAGAAGCATGTGGAGACGTTGTCTGTAATGTTCACGGAGCAGGCTGTCCTCAAGATGATCGAAATGGCCACACTCCAGTGCAGTTCCAAGGCTAGGTGGAAGCTGAAACTCAGATTTCCTATGCACTGAAAAAAAAACAACAACTTTGACACTGAAATTGCATGTGTGCATGTAAGAGAATAAAAAATTGGTTCAAAAAATAAGGAAGTTAAAAAACTCAAGGGGAAAATAATCATAATTTTTTTCCCAAGGGAGAAAAATTGCCCTGGATAATCGGGGTGTTAAAAAAATACAAGGTTCCCAAAATTTGGATTCTACTGTGATACAGCACAGTGTCAAGTTTGTGAATGTGTCAACTGCATGAAAGCAAAACGTGGAATCAAGAGTGGAGTTAGAGAGGTGCATAAAATCACCAAAAAATAGCAAATAAACACACAACTATAGTTGAAAACATATATGCGGCCCCAGGAAAGATCTATACCCACCCAAAGGAAGGACATTAGACAATCAAGGGGGGGGGGGAGGAGGAGGTTGAAATACAAAGTTTTAATAGGACAGAATAGTAAAGCCAAACCAAAATTTTCAGCCTAAATTGAGGAAATAATAAATTCATTTATTGTTTTCTGAATCTCTGGCTCCTTTTCTTGAACCCCCACACTTGGCACTTTCATGTTCACTCGCAAAACACAGCTGAGATGACAAGGCCCACAACACAAGTTAAAAAAATTAAGATGGAGTCAATAAATCATTTCATTATAATTATGGCTGTGTCTCACAAGAACAGGGAACTACCAAAATCATGAATTTGATTGGCTGAAATCGATATTGAAAATGTTCCATCTAGACAGGTTACATTTTGTGGTGACAAAGTAGCAAACTAAACGGAAGTGCTAAAAAGCCTGATGAGAAAAAAAGTAAAGAGACCATGCAAACTGTGGCAGATTCAAGTTCAGCTCATTGCCATTTGCAAGCAAATGTCAGCTAGTACAAACCAGTTTAAATTAAACATGTTAAATTTTTCTTGTTTGCCACATACAATGTAATAAGTATCTTTGATTATTGACAAAGCTTAGTTGGTCTGTATGGGAGAATCTTGACCTCAGTCATTTGTACAGACCTCACAGCATTGAGTCTGTACTCACGACCTTGTTCAAGATTCTCCCATAGAGACTTCCTGCTCTGTTAATAAGAGCTAAATACAGAGAAGAATAAAAAATTTTGCTTTTGCTAAGATCTTTTCAATATCATTTTTGGCAACAATAATTTAAATAAAGTGGTCCCAACCTTAACCAAACACATCAAGAACATTGTATGTCCAGTTCTGGAGAAAAACAGTCGATACACATGGTCGCCTAAATGTACTGTACCTTGCGTATCTTGAGAATCAAAAGGCACCACTGTGTATTTACTAAGCCATGACAGTTCACTATCATCTTCACAAATCACAGGATAGTGGATTGCATGAAGGAGGTTTAGCTCTGGAGCAACCACTACCCCAAGCTGCCGAAACACATATGGCCGCTCGCCAAAATCAAACACAACTCGTTGTTGAAAACTGCCATAGTCTGCCGACTGAAAGCGGAATGTGATTTGGTAGCTTGTGATTGGACGGCCAATATCATTCTCCCACTCCTGGCATCCTGGGGGTAGGATCTGCTTTGGATGGCCATTTGCATTCACCTCCACCATGCTGTACTCTGGGAGATATGGATCCAGTGTTAACACACGGCGTAATCTACACCACTTGCTGACACGACTCTGAAAGAAATTTATCCACATTATAGTGTAAGTACGTGTGAGAGCATACTTAAGCTATTACTTAGCTTATTATGTACATGTTATATAGAAAAAGCAAAACTAATGTGTGTTAGTTCCAGTTCACAGGGGTTTCATGAAGGCTGGGCAACAGGCAAATTGATTGCCCACCTGGTTTGACCATCTAGTGAAAAGTTTTTCTTATAGAGAAGTTCAGTTCAAATACATGTAGTTTTGTCTGGTTGTGAAAACCAGTTGCTCTCCTGCTAAAATGTTCATGAAACCCCTGAGTTCAATTATACAAGTTTTCCTGTCCTTTCTGAAGAAGTTTTAGTTTTCAGTCCAGGAGAACGGGGGGGGGGGGACGCTTGTGAAAGGGTTGGGGATGCTTGTTGTCTCACTTAAGGCTGTAAATCATGGATTTTGGTTTCACCTAAGCCTGGTTTTCACTAGCAGCACAAGCACAAAAGCAAGCAATAGGGATGACCCAAGTGAAAGCGAAATTCAATGCAAACACAAGCACAAGCAAAATCATCCAAACCTTACACCATTTTGGAAAACTGTTTGGGCTTGAGGTACTCTGGATCCAGTGTTTTCATTGGCCAAACATAACCATGTGTGGTAAATATCCTTGTGTTTGTGTTATGCCTGAACGGTACTTCATTTTAACTTGTTGCAGCACTATTGCAAGCACAAAGAAAAAATTTGATCCTTGTGCTTGTGCTTGCGCTTACAGCTGTATGCCTGCGTTAACGCCGTTTTCATGGTGAAATAAGACTTCTTGTGGTTGCACTTCTGCTTGCATTGCTAGTGAAAACCAGGCTTCAGGGTGTTCGGGACAAAATGCCACTTTTGTTTAGCTGACTAGGTATCTTTTAGGGTTGGACTCAAAGAAGTAATTAAAAAATACTGCCTGACTGCTTCAAAGTAGTATCTTTTAACGGTCAAATAAAACCCGAAACACTCCCAGATTGATCTCTTTTGATGTTTAATTCAAATTTTCTGATGAGTGTCACATGGAAGTCACCCCCAGGGAGGAGGAGACATGTGTGTGTTTCAATTGCTGAAAGGTTTCAGGGGTGTCAGGAATTGAGACAGAAGAACTTCCCAATTGCCACAACATTGACTGGGACTCTGCTCAGTGCTTAACCTACAGTACAAACTATTTTCAACGACTGACTCTGGAAAGCTGGTACACTAACCTAGAACAAACGCCTCTTAACAGATGTCAACAATTACCAGCGCCTTACAAACGACTTATCCATGACGGAAACGAAACCAACAAACAGACTTCTAACAGAGCAACTTAACAATACACAGACCAAACACTGACCTATTTGACTAACAATAGACGGATCGAAACCCACCCACTTTACACAAGTCCTTCAGCCAATACCATCATGGCTATACTGACCAATCATGTTCAATGGACCAGACTTATAATATCATCGACTGACAAACACTATTCACTTGACCCTGAAGATGACTTCCGCTCAGGTTGTCAAAACGTCAGTCACCAACAACAGTCTTTTCAGAACTACACTCACCCGGACGATCACACTATACGAACTGCTTTATACTATGTTAGCCACAACAAATGTCTATTAAAGAAACTACATTAAAGTGTAGAGGCACTTACACTTGATGACACTGCAAAAGTCCAAGTAACTGGTTTGTTCTTGTCAATGTGTGGAACAAACAGTTTTTCATTGCAAAGAATGCTGTGATTTCCACTCATTTCAACCATCTAAAATAGTATTGAAAACAACAAGTCATTATTTATGGTTAAGTCCTCTTGAACTTCTGAAACTTTTGAAACATAAAGAGATGATACTGGGAATGCTAATATTATTGTTTACATGAAGGGTGGCACCCTGACTCCTAACACAGCAAGAGACAAAATCCAAATTAGAGATGAACAGGTACAACTACATTGCAAAAAGTCTGCACCTGGCAAAGTATCTGTACCACCAAAGCTTATCCCGGTTTCTTTATTTTTACTCTCCTGTGGATGGGATACTAGTCACATCACAAGGTTACCCCAAGCATTAGATTTGAAGGTAGCCATTTATACACCTGGTTGGAGAGAGGCACTGTGAGAGTAAAGTGTCTTGCCTAAGAACATAATGCAATGACTGGCCAGACCTCAATACAATGTACAGGTACATGTATGCTTGATTCAGAGTCCAGCCTACTGACCATTTGGCAGTAGACTACCACCTCTCTCCTCTGAAGAGGCTCAAAGGGTTTTTCTGGGTGGGGAGAATCTACTTAACAATATGGGTGCAGGCACAGGGTTACGTAAAGGACGACAGCAGAAGGCACCACCCAATCCATCCAGTTGACTCTGTGCCTGCACTGACCTCACACAGCAGCTTTCTGTAATGAACATTTGAAACCCCTGCAGAGGAGTGAGGACTACCATAATAACTCTCAAACCACCATGTCTACATCATACTCTTTACAGAAGACTTTCCTACAAGTGGTTTGCTTTTCATTCGTAAGGTAATGGATGAGTTTGATAAAGCACATTGCTTACCAGATTGCTTTCAGGAAAGCCAATTTCCTTCTGTCGTTCTATTTCCTGTAATAACATTGCAGCAGCAGATAGGGTAGGCCTTGAATTTTGTTGTAAGAACATCTTTTCTCTCTTACTTTACATCTGCTTGTGTATATATTTACATGAAAGATCCTTGAGACAAATATTTACAACTGAAGAACATACAGTGCTGTTTAGCCTTTGAATCCACTGGCTCTGTCACTGTGACCATTTCCAAGGCAGCTACTGTGGAAGAAATGAGTATGGTTAGCTAAAAACATTACGTCAAAATAACAGGTAAAGGTAAAGAGTCCATACATTGTATATAAACCCTAAACAAGGCAAACACAAGGATCAAAATAATTATTGCACACTATACTTGCTTGCACATAACTGCAGGGTCCGAAACTGTGCTTTCCTGGTCGCCAATGCGACTAAAAATTTTGCACTGGCGACCAGAATTTCACAACTGGTCGTCAGCAGGCGATTAACTATTTGATGCCACAATAATTACACAAACAATAACTTTGATTTTTAGCCAAATCAATTAAGATAAAATTCAAAGCCGCCCGCCAATTGGTCACTTCCTTTTTACCTTTCCGCTGCTTTTGAAGTATAAAACCGATTTTCCTGTTATTATAAATCTACCACAACGTCTCACAGCGATGATCAGTGCAAAGCTTCGCTGCCATGTTTTTTCAGCAGTTTTCCCATAACATACGTATTGCGGACGCAAGAGGTTATGTGCATTCTTTTGTCATGAATATTTATCCAGGCGATGTGATGTCCAAAGATGTTCTGAAATCTTTCCGTAATTTATTACAAGGTGGAGACGGAATATCCGCAAAGAAATTAGGTGAAGATTTAGATATTCTCTGGGCGTCAAAAGGTGGAAATGTAGATCTGTCAAAGTGGTCAAAAGATGATTTCAGTACTGGTCTGATTCCTGATTACATCGATTGCAAATATTTTGCTGGCAAGCCTGTGGCAACCAAAAATTTTGGTTTGTGTTTTGTTGCAAGGGAAAAATTTTATTGACACTTTTTGGCGACCACATTTTTCCATTTGGCGACTGACAAAAAAAATTTCAGTCGCCAGTTGGCGCCTGCTGAAAAAAGTTAATTTCAGACCCTGAACTGTGAGACTTATGTAACTACACATCAGTCTTCATTGCACCATTGGACGCATAAGGCCTGTAACTACACAGTCCAGCAGTCCAGCAATAATATTATTGTTGTTATCATAAGCACCATTGTAAGGTTTCTAGCTAGGAATTTTTAGCTGCATTGAACACTTAAATTGACACAAGGATCAAAATAATAATTATTGCACACTATACTCACTTGCACATAATTGTGAGACTTATGTACATGTATGTAACTACACAGTCCAGCAATTGTTGTTATCATAGGTACCATTGTAAGGTTTCTAGCTAGGAATTTTTAGCTGCATTGAACACTTAAATTGACACAAGGATCAAAATAATAATTATTGCACACTATACTCACTTGCACATAATTGTGAGACTTATGTACATGTATGTAACTACACAGTCCAGCAATTGTTGTTATCATAGGTACCATTGTAAGGTTTCTAGCTAGGAATTTTAAGCTGCTTTAAACATTTAAATTGACACATTGTTTCTGTGTCAGATCCCAGGTGTCAGATCATCTTTTGTTCTACTCAACTGGGTCCCAGCTGCCTAATCAGATGTGTAACCGCAATGCAATGGACATGCAAAGACAGATAAGATTGCCGGTGTATGACATTTGCAAACTGCAGAGTGCAGACTTTCTAACTAATAGGGTATTCCGTTTTCGTTACCGAGAGCTGACCTTAAACAGGCTAACCTGAGACCTATTCAGACTAACCTGAGTGACATTCAGGCTGACCAGAGCGCTATTTCATAGTTTAAGTGTAGTCTGCAGTCTACAGATGTCATACAGCCTCATTCTCTTCAAGAAACATAGATGTGTTATTCGTACCAATAATCCAGCTGAATAATCAAGTGTCTGTAGTAATCTAATTTATTATTTGCGTCAGTTTTGTGAACACTTAAGAAAATTGAAAACACTCATTTACATAATATAGATTATGCTTTGTAAAATTTCTCTCGTATGCTCAAATTTACAGCGTGTTTTGGGTAAGACATGGCGTCGACTCAAGCGACGATCTTTACGAATACACGTGTTTGCTGAGAAACTAACGCCAATTTATTCAATAAGAACACCATTGTCATCATCATTCATGGTATTATAAATCCCTTAGGAGAGCAAACCGAAAAACGGGAATTTTCCAGGGCAAAGGAACTCTTCTAAAACCACTGTTAGATGTCATTAAACACCATACCTTCAAAATCAAACCATGCAACTGTTCAGAATTCAAAACTGCATCCAAGCTACTGTCGCTTCGTCAAGTGTTTCATGTCTTTCGTGGGACACATGCCTCTGACTTCCAGAGACTCTCTAAAGCACGACCAAGCAAGGTCGCAGATGAAATTTCTTGTTATTCCTTTCGATATTTTTACGGCGAAAACCGTTCACAAAACAATGAAAGCTCTTGGCGCTCCCTCCATCTTGAAAGATGTCTCGTTTCCAGTACTCTCTGCCTCTCTCTTGCTTGAGATGTCGTGACTGATATCGGCACATCGTGACTGGACTGACTGATCAGTCACAAAATGACATTAATGAAATGACAAAAACTGCTTGAAAAATCGAGTGAAGTGTCGAATGAAGCCAAAGCTGTTAACTATCGGAGTTTCCGTCCTCGTTTATAGACCTTTATAAGCCATGACAGTATATTAGATCACGATTTTTCACTGGACGTCTTATGACGATTACATGACGCTCTCACCCAAGTCCTGCTTTCCAGTTCTCTACCGTGACCACGAGAATGAAGATGGCGGTTTTGCGTTGCTATGTGTCACCCTTCTGATTCGGAAACCTACGATGCGGTGGTCGAGCTTGGTGATAGGGAATTTCCTCGTCTTTTACAAAATTTTTCTATGTTTTGGTTAGTTAAAATGATTTTACTGGTGATTTAATGGATTGAAGTGAAATTAATGATGTCACTCAAGTTATATAAACCGTGAACTTACATTTTTCAGGAGCTTCGAATGTAAGCGGCAGCATCGATGACCTGTTAGTTTCTAAAGAAGACCTCGAAATCCTAACTAAAAGACCCACAGGAAAATGGCCCCTTTGTGTATTCTACAGAAATCCAAGTAAGTCTTTAAGTGAGTAATGACATGACACTTTCATCTAACAAAACCATCATTCTGTCAATCTTTCAACCAGTCAATCAATCAATCAATCAGTCAGTCAGTCAATTAATCCTTTGATCAGTTTATCAGTCACTCAATCCATCCATTATTCAGTCAGTCAGTCCTTTCATCCATCCCTCTGTCTGTCCATCTGTCTGTCTGTCCACCCATCAGTCAGTCAGTCAGCCAGCCAGCCCNGGCACCACCCAATCCATCCAGTTGACTCTGTGCCTGCACTGACCTCACACAGCAGCTTTCTGTAATGAACATTTGAAACCCCTGCAGAGGAGTGAGGACTACCATAATAACTCTCAAACCACCATGTCTACATCATACTCTTTACAGAAGACTTTCCTACAAGTGGTTTGCTTTTCATTCGTAAGGTAATGGATGAGTTTGATAAAGCACATTGCTTACCAGATTGCTTTCAGGAAAGCCAATTTCCTTCTGTCGTTCTATTTCCTGTAATAACATTGCAGCAGCAGATAGGGTAGGCCTTGAATTTTGTTGTAAGAACATCTTTTCTCTCTTACTTTACATCTGCTTGTGTATATATTTACATGAAAGATCCTTGAGACAAATATTTACAACTGAAGAACATACAGTGCTGTTTAGCCTTTGAATCCACTGGCTCTGTCACTGTGACCATTTCCAAGGCAGCTACTGTGGAAGAAATGAGTATGGTTAGCTAAAAACATTACGTCGAAATAACAGGTAAAGGTAGAGAGTCCATACATTGTATATAAACCCTAAACAAGGCAAACACAAGGATCAAAATAATAATTACTGCACACTATACTTGCTTGCACATAACTGTGAGACTTATTTAACTACACATCAGTCCTCATTGCGCCATCGGACGCATAAGGCCTGTAACTACACAGTCCAGCAATCCAGCAATAATATTATTGTTGTTATCATAAGCACCATTGTAAGGTTTCTAGCTAGGAATTTTTAGCTGCATTGAACATTTAAATTGGCACAAGGATCAAAATAATAATTATTGCACACTATACTTGCTTGCACATAATTGTGAGACTTGTGTACGTAACTACACAGTCCAGCAATTGTTGTTATCATAGGTACCATTGTAAGGTTTCTAGCTAGGAATTTTAAGCTGCTTTAAATATTTAAATTGACACATTATTTCTGTGTCAGATCCCGGGTGTCAGATCCCGGGTGTCAGATCATCTTTTGTTCTACTCAACTGGGTCCCAGCTGCCTAATCAGACGTGTAACTGCAATGCAATGGACATGTAAAGACAGATAGGATTGCCGGTGTATGACATTTGCAAACTGCAGACTGCAGACTTTCTAACTAATAGGGTATTCCGTTTTCGTTACCAAGAGCTGACCTTAAACAGGTTAACCTGAGACCTATTCAGACTAACCTGAGTGATATTCAGGCTGACCAGAGCGCTATTTCATAGTTTAAGTGTAGTCTGCAGTCTACAGATGTCATACAACCTAATTCTCTTCAAGAAACATAGATGTGTTATTCGTACCAATAATCACGTGTCTGTAGCAATCTAATTTATTATTTGCGTCAGTTTTGTGAACACTTATGAAAATTGAAAACACTCATTTACATAATATAGATTATGCTTTGTAAAATTTCTCTCGTATGCTCAAATTTACAGCGTGTTTTGGGTAAGACATGGCGTCGACTCAAGCGACGATCTTTACGAATACACGTGTTTGCTGAGAAACTAACGCCAATTTATTCAATAAGAACACCATTGTCATCATCATTCATGGTATTATAAATCCCTTAGGAGAGCAAACCGAAAAACGGGAATTTTCCAGGGCAAAGGAACTCTTCTAAAACCACTGTTAGATGTCATTAAACACCATACCTTCAAAATCAAACCATGCAACTGTTCAGAATTCAAAACTGCATCCAAGCTACTGTCGCTTCGTCAAGTGTTTCATGTCTTTCGTGGGACACATGCCTCTGACTTCCAGAGACTCTCTAAAGCACGACCAAGCAAGGTCGCAGATGAAATTTCTTGTTATTCCTTTCGATATTTTTACGGCGAAAACCGTTCACAAAACAATGAAAGCTCTTGGCGCTCCCTCCATCTTGAAAGATGTCTCGTTTCCAGTACTCTCTGCCTCTCTCTTGCTTGAGATGTCGTGACTGATATCGGCACATCGTGACTGGACTGACTGATCAGTCACAAAATGACATTAATGAAATGACAAAAACTGCTTGAAAAATCGAGTGAAGTGTCGAATGAAGCCAAAGCTGTTAACTATCGGAGTTTCCGTCCTCGTTTATAGACCTTTATAAGCCATGACAGTATATTAGATCACGATTTTTCACTGGACGTCTTATGACGATTACATGACGCTCTCACCCAAGTCCTGCTTTCCAGTTCTCTACCGTGACCACGAGAATGAAGATGGCGGTTTTGCGTTGCTATGTGTCACCCTTCTGATTCGGAAACCTACGATGCGGTGGTCGAGCTTGGTGATAGGGAATTTCCTCGTCTTTTACAAAATTTTTCTATGTTTTGGTTAGTTAAAATGATTTTACTGGTGATTTAATGGATTGAAGTGAAATTAATGATGTCACTCAAGTTATATAAACCGTGAACTTACATTTTTCAGGAGCTTCGAATGTAAGCGGCAGCATCGATGACCTGTTAGTTTCTAAAGAAGACCTCGAAATCCTAACTAAAAGACCCACAGGAAAATGGCCCCTTTGTGTATTCTACAGAAATCCAAGTAAGTCTTTAAGTGAGTAATGACATGACACTTTCATCTAACAAAACCATCATTCTGTCAATCTTTCAACCAGTCAATCAATCAATCAATCAGTCAGTCAGTCAATTAATCCTTTGATCAGTTTATCAGTCACTCAATCCATCCATTATTCAGTCAGTCAGTCCTTTCATCCATCCCTCTGTCTGTCCATCTGTCTGTCTGTCCACCCATCAGTCAGTCAGTCAGCCAGCCAGCCCGTCAGTTAGTCAGTCAGTCAGTCAGTCAGTCAGTCAGTCAGTCAGTCAGTCAATGCCAATAGATCCATTCCAGAGATCCAGACCAGTAGATCCTGTACTAAGAGAAAATAGGAACAAGTGATACTGTGGAGAATTTGAATCTTGACCATGGCACTTAGAAGGGTGAAATCTCCAAGTACGCTATTAGACTGCATTAACACTGTATAGAGTCTGTATAACTACTGAAGTTGAACAGCAAGTGTAACAAAGTTCACTTTATTTAATTTTTTTCAATGTTTTTAGCAACTGCTTTGTCAAGGCTTGAGCAGAGTTTTGCTGAGTTTCTTAGAAGTCTATCAGAGAATAGCGCATTTAAAGAATGGAACATTGTAGCATTTAACCTTGACAAGGTAAGCCTTTGAAATGCTTTGCCCCAGTGTTATTTATAAATGTTTAAATGAGGGGGTTTTGCTCTATAAGCTGACTTATAAGTACTGTATCTCACATCAGTTACTTTAGGCTGTACTGCCATGGCCTATACATGAGATACAGTGTAAGCCAGGATGATACAGGCAAACTTAATGCTGGGGGTAGTCCTGCAATAGACCAGCACCCCATCCAGGAGAAGTACAAATACTCCAGTAGTCACTTCATACTACAGAAACCAGGATAAGTTATGGCCTGATGGGCCGCTTGGCTCATGTGCAGACTTTGCATTAAACTTAAGATATTCTGCAAGTTAAGGTAAGGTAATGTACATGTACATGTAAGGCAAAGTCTGCATTGGGCCAAGTAATACATGCTGCCAGAGTATTCTGGATTCCATTAACGTTAAATGACAAAGAAGATTTCTACTCTCCCCAAGGTAGGATGCTAGTCCATGACAGGGCTACCCCCGGTACCCATTTGTACACCTGGGTGGAGAAAGGTACTGTGGAAGTAAAGTTTCTTGCCCAAGAACAAATTGCAATGACCCCAGCCAGGACTTGAACCCGAACCACTCGATCTAGCATCCAGCATGCTAATCATTAGGCTGCCTGAAGTGTCAATTCTATTTCTTTATTGTGTACGCTGATATTTTTCTGCATAGGGAATGTTATCATGGGAGGGCCATCCAGGAGCTGTTCCTCTTCTGCAGTGTCACATTGGAACAGCTGAATCACCATTGAGCTACCCATCACCCAACAAGGTTCACAGAACAACCAGCTCATTACATCAGTGGTTTAAAAATGTGGTATGTTTATTATGCAAGAACTGTTAGTGATAACACATAAACATAATTGACAACTACACGATTTCTTGGTCAATGACGTGAAATGTTAATCCTGGAGGTGTTAGGTGGAGCAGAGCTGTCATCAAGTTTTTGAGTCGGCTGTTACCTTGATCATCGGATCCATAACAAATGTGTTGCTTTATAGATGAATTTTATCAACAACAGGTGAATTAACCCAGTGCATCAAGGGCCCATCACGATTAGTCCTGAAGCCATAACAGATGTTATTGGTTACAGCTTCAACCATGACAGCCCTTGTGGAGGGGGAAAGGGGGGAGAGAATCTGAAAGTTAAGGGGGGATGAATTTTATGAGAGTTGAGTAAAGAGAAGCCAGGAAGTGGGATTTCCAAGGTAGTGCAAACAAGTGGCCACTGTTTTGTTAGCAAGCACTCACTGCTATGCTACTCACTATCCACATGAGCAGAATAGAATAGTGAGTAGCATAGGCCAATCAGAGAGTGGCATGCATGATAGAACACCAGTAGATTTATACCATGTCTAAATAAATCCTTTTTGTAGATGTCTTTTAAATTCTGGATGAAAATACAGATTACCAGACCTCTCAGGCAGCTTTCTGTTTTGAAGGCAATTTTGAGTTGATTATTGTAAAGTCAAAATGGACCAAAGAAGTCACAACCCCGAAATTAATGTGTACATGTTCATGTTACTGCAACCCTTTTTGTGTCTGAGATCTGAGAAATTTATTTTTTTGAGGGCTTATTTTGAGGGAAAGGGGTTTGTTGTTAGAAATAATTTAACTGTTTATTTATTTACTAGTTGTTTTATATAGTATAAATTTATAATAACATTGTTATGGACAGAACAAGATGTTTACAAAAAGACTACCTCTGCTCAATATCAATCATTTGGCTGGTGTGGTTGTTAGTCATGGAGGATATACGGTGGTGGGAATTTCTGGTCATTTACATCACCAAACAGTGGAAAATACACTCAGGAAGGTTAGAACTACACGTACATCAAAATAAGAGAAAAACAAATTAAAAATTGTTGGAGACTACACATTCACATTTTTTACAATAAGCCTAGACATCATTTAAGTTACAGACATTGATTGCCCTTTTTTGGTTGTTACCAAGCAACAACCAATCATATCATCTAATGTAACAATATGAAACCAAGCATTTCTTTCCAGATGTTAAGAGTATGCATACCTCTTATGCAACTGTTGTAAAAGTGAATACCAGAGAACTAAACTCATAATTATAAACCCAAATGATTCTAGTGATTGGGCAAGTTAGTCTGGTGAAACCCTACTAGTAAACTGGGCTAAGTTCTTTTTCCCATTGCTTTTAAAAAGTTTCAATTTATATTTGGTTGTTGTTTACTCTTTATGCAGTTGGCTAAAAGTTGGAAAGACAGAATAAAAGTTTTTGTTGTGATTCCATTCACTGATGAGGAGATGTAAGTTGTTTTGTTAAACTAAAAAGAATCGTGTACTATAAAACATGTGTACATGTACTGTGTATTATGTTAAGCTTCCTAGAGAACAAGAGAGTTGCTCATTAATTTTCCAGTGACAGAATGTACTAGGAAAGTCAAAAAAACTCTTACTATCTTTGCAGAAAGCAATGGTTTGTAACATTTAAACTCAAGTTGCCTCTGTGGGTCAAATATGACTACATGTTTTTTCTTTTTTCTTTTTTTATTTTGGAGACCAGACTATTATTTGAATCTACTATAATTAAATACTTGTATTACATGTGTATTTTATTAAATCCCATTAACAGGTTTATGATGCAGACGTACAATGTCAGTCAGCTACCTGCAGTTCTAGTTTTTAGTTCACAAGGTAGATTATAGCATCACTAATAATATTATTCAATCAGATCTATCCCTGTATGTTGTTGTTACAATGTTTTCAAAACTAGGCACAAATAAATATTATACAGTGACTTAATCACTGGTTCCAAGGGAAACAGGTAGTTTTGGTTTTTTGAGAATCTCGATGTTTCCTGAGACAAAAACAACTTTAGGGAAAAATCAAGATTCAAGGGGAAAGGAAACAAGCTGTTTCTCAAGGGACCAGTGATGTGTTTTGTTATACGTAGCTCAAATTTACAGGAGGAGTGAAAGTAAACTCTGGTTAGTGTGAGAGTGGGCAACAATTACTTAACTGTTGCCTGCCAGGAGATATTTAGATTTATAATGTAACCATTGCCACAGGATCATAATTAATCAAATGAAACAATGTGTGTTACATTCAACTCAACTCCAGCAGGTACATAGTATATTAATATGTTTTGTCCCACATGACTTTATGCAGCACAAAAAGTCATACCACTGGACGTTCATCCCTGTTGCATGCTCTTAAGGGTTAATAATTTCATTCCAATATGAAAACTTACACTGTTATGATGTACACAATGAATGACTACAACAGTTATCAAAGTCTTTGAGGAACCTATTCAGTTACTGTTCATTCGTTCATTTATTTGCTCTTCCCCCATGGAAGGGATTTCCCCCCACCCCCTCCACTCCTCTGGAAATTCCAGTGAAGCTTCAGTACACTTCTTTAAATTTTTGGTCTTCCAGAATTCCCCACCCCACAGGAAATTCCAGTCCCTTCTGTAGGGGGAGTATGGATATTTTCTGGAACGGCACATTCCCAATAACCTTTATTGTTGTTGTTGTTGTTTTTTTTTTTACAAATAATTTGCTTCTCCCAGAGTGGAAGGAAACAGAAAAACCTTTGCTTGTGCTGCAAAGTGTTGGTGAGGTAGAGGAGAGAAGACTCGAGACCATGTTGGTAACTCTTCACAGCCAAGCTTATCAGCTGAATCTGGTCAGTGTACAAAACCTGTATACTGTAGGCTTTTCACAATGAGCAATGAAAATGTATTCACATAATTATTTATAAAAATTTTGAAATTTAATTACAAATCAAGTGAAATGATTTTTAACAATAATTGGATACTTCTTGGTTCTAGCCTATTATCATGATTTGCCAGCATCGACAAGATCAGTTATTTGCTGAAGAGGAATGCTGAGGCAAGACAAACTGACGGCTGCTTGCAGGCACTTTCAAAGAGCAAATTATTGTGATTTGTTAGCTAATTAGTATGTGGCAAACAGATCAGTCATTTGCTAAAGCAGAATGCTTTGACAAATAATTGATCTGCGTGACAAAATGCCAGCCACCTCTGCATTTTCGAAGTGTCTATGAAGAGGATCTAGATAACACTAAAAGCCTGGATTAGACTATTCGCTCTTGATTTCTATGAGTGATAGTTAACTTGCCTATCATGCGATAGAAATCTTGAGCTCATAATCTAATTGTTAAATTGAGCATCATTATTCCTTTCGGTTCCAAATGCAGTTATCAAAATTGTCCAAACACAACTCTTCTCTTTCCTATGGAAAAACAAAAAAGATGAAATAAAGAGAGCAGTTATATATCAGCCTCTGGCAGAAGGGGGATCATTATTGTTAAGATTAATAACCTATCTGAGAAACACTTATAATAAGTTACTGAACAACATTGTTGTACATGTATGACTTTTTTTTCTTGGGTTAAACATTTCACCAGGGCAATTTCATGGAAGAAGTTTTAGAAACAAAACATCCTACACCACCAATGGCTGTGTGTTTCTACTCTCCAAGAAGCCCACGCACACTAAACTACTTGAATGCCTTTCACCGTTCATATGACACATTTACAAGAATGCAAGTCTCTCTGCGATTTGGAATGCTCAACATTGTTGATCATCCAGAAGGTATGTTATTTAATGTCATGACCCGTTTTAAACAGAGAGTAAATGGACACTAAACAGAAAGTAAACGCTTTGCTGTTTAAAACAGTATTAGCGTTAGTGTACGTTTTCACTTTCCCAGTCATAATGATGACATGGAGTCATCGGAACGTCGTTCACTTTTCATATCGCTAATTTTCATTGTTAATTAATTAAGGTAAAGATCTCTGAAAATAAGAAATTCATGAAACAAAAGGAAATTTTCATCAAAATCTAGTCAGAATTGCTTCAGTCTTAATCTTTTCTCTTCACGATCAACCTCTTTGACCAGAGAAAAGAGTTCAACATATGATGCATAACAATACATCAACAATATCCTCCATGCACCAAAGCTACACATGTAAACCCCCAAAACCTCTAATTAGGAAACACAGGGACGATTTGCCTTGATAAAATGCAGTGGTGTTAACTTTTGGGGTTTTAAGGTTATTTCATGTATATAAAAAACAGCATGAAAGACAAATTAAATAACACTATTCACACAACACTAAATTAACCTTATCTGAAGTTGCGATTGGTAAGGCTGACTGTAGAATGTCACAAGTTTTTCAACCATTTCTTTTTAACAAAATTATGTAATGCACATAACCATGTGCCATCGCATACTATGTTCGCACCCAGTTGTCAGTTCCATGTGAGCAAAATATTAAGTTATGTCATTACCGATAAGTTAATATATACTGGTATTTATCACAAATTACATTAATTATTGCTTTTGTTATATAATTATATTCAGTGGTGTCAAGATATGTACATGCATCAGATGTGTATGCTGTTCCATTTACTGTGGTTTTCTGGCAGGAAAGAGAATTGACTACACAGAGTAAGTACGTGTAGAAGTAAATTGGTGACTGTAAAATTCTATAACCACACATCATTAATGGCACTACACAAGTTGTGATAAAATTTGATGGCTGTAGATAGTTAATGCATGAATTTACTAGTATCCTCACTAGTAAATTCCTGACACAACCAAGTATAACAATCTCATGACTCGCAATTGGACCTGGATAATGTTGGGGGTACATTTAGGTTAGTGGCAGATTGTTTGAGCAAAGGTAGGTAGGTAAAGTCCGCATATGAGCCAAATGGCTCACCAGGTGCGAGCTTATCCCAGTTTCTGTAACATGAAGCAACTAGGAATATTTCTACTTCCCCTTGGATGGGATGCTACACTGGAGTCCGTCGCAGAGTTACCCCCAGCATTAAATTCACTATTACCCATTTATACACCTGGTTGGAGAGAGGTACTGTGAGAGTAAAGGGTCTTGCCCAAGAACACAACACAATGGGCTCAATCTGAGGTTGAGTGCACTAACCATGAACCTAATGTGCCTCCAGTGGGGGGAGGGGGGTAGCAATACTCTACATACACCTCGCTTCATGCTATAGATCCCAGGGAAAGGTGTGGCTGCATAAGAGATTTTGGCTTGAGAGCAGACTTTACATTCAGATTCAGTTTCATATTTAATTTTGTTCCTGCAAAAACTACTTAATGCTTATTGGCCTATTTTGATAACTTATTGAACAAACAGGGTTTACAATCAAACAACAAGTATTCGACAGGGACATTCCCACACCTCTGCTTCTGTTTGAGTTTCTGCAAATGCTGCCTCTCAACCTGTACACAGCTCTACCAGAAAATGATGATGATGATGAGCCATACAATCCCTGGAAAGAAAGTGATGATACCAAGGTGTGTCTTTAGAAACAACTAGAAGCTAGTAATTAATTCAGAACCATATTTTTCATTGGTTTTGTGAAGATCATCATAATTATAATTAATTGTAATAATTACTACTAACAATTATTTCCCTGATCACCGAAACTGTAATGGGCTTGATTACCAGCTGCTGTTCAGGAAAGGAGCCCGTGCTCCTCCCACAAAAGCTGGACTCAAGAGAGCGTTGGAAATCGAGCCTAATTGAGAGACAGAGGACAAGTCAGTGGGATCTGTCTTCAGGACTACAGTTGCACCTCGCTATTTTAAACTCTGTCATCTCAAACTCCCTGCTATCTCAAACTACGGACATTTCCCTTGAATGTACTTTTTCAGTCATTTACTATCGGCTATCTTGAACATCCGGCACCTTAAACTATTTCTTGTTTCCCTAAAGATTTTGAGATAGCAGGCTTCAACTCTATGTGGTCATATCTGGACTTATCTAAGATTGGGCTGATCCCTTTTAATCAATCCTCAAAAATGTCATGAAAAGTTTTCTTCATGGATAGAACAGAAATTGAAATTATTCTCTTACAATCACAAGTTGCAAAGTCTTTTTAACAGTGATTTTGATATTATGTGGTTCCTAGAATGTGTGCAACCTTTTGCTACAAGATGCGTGCGCCATAGGAGATAACAGTACATTAATAGACGAGACAGGTTTTCAGCAGAATGACGTCATGTTTGGGCCACCTTTACCTCCTCCTTCATGGCCGACTAAGGTGAGCATTGATATAACAAATGCTCTTTTGGAAAAATTATTGCTTAATGTTTGCCTCGTAGTATAATAATACAGTTCGGTAATTTGGAAATTATTTGAGCGTAAGGCCACAAAAGACCAATTTTAATATATTAATATTCTAACTTGGCCCCAAGGCTTTAGGAGAATAAAATGAGAGAAATCACATTGAGGTTGAGGGACAAGTAATTGATTTCTTTTGCTTTTTTTCCCCCAACCTCGGACCAAGTTTGAATTTTGATATATCGAAACTGGCCAATTCTAAACTGTGGGCAACAAGTTGATAACTTCGACTAGGTGAAGCCGAAAGCTTACCTTTGAAAAAAATTCTTAAACAGAGAACGTTTTTACTCAAGATGACTTTTAATCCTGGTCACTCTTCCATTTTTAAGGCTACTAACCTCAGAAATGTATAGAGAAGTACTCACACAATTCCATTAACACGTGCCAATTTTTTAAACCATGTGAACTCCCTAGCATTTTAACCACTTGCCCATTCGACCTTTTTTCAGTAGCACTGTACTTCGTATTCTGATGTTAAGTCTGAATGTCTTTATTAGGCCAAAGTTCAATCAAAGATGAAAAAGAAGACTTTTCAATTTGAATATGTAAATGACCAGACCTGGGCTTCACTCATAGAGCAGTCAGTTGGTCCAGTGAAGTCATACTCTGCTCTACCAAGAAAACAATCATCTCGTTTGTTTTCTGTAGCTTTGGTAAGTCTGTAGCTCTGTCGAATTCGACTTGGTATTCTAGCCAAGTGAGTGAGTGAGCAAATTAATGTGTACGAAAAGGAACACCCTCGTGTCGCGTCTCCTCGTGCAAGGTGATTTTCGCGCGCGCACTCGCCCATTCGAGTGACTTGGTATTCTAGCCAAGTGAGTGAGTGAGCAAATTAACGGGTGCGAAAAGGAACACCCTCGTGTCGCGTCTTCTCGTGCAAGGTGATTTTCGTGCGCGCACTGGCCCATTCGAGTGACTTGGTATCCTAACCAAGTGAGTGAGTGAGCAAATTAATGGGTGTGGAAAGGAACACCCGCGTGTCGCGTCTCCTCGTACAAGGTGATTTTCGCGCGCGCACTCGCCCATTCGACTCACCGTCCACACGCATACATACTTACAGTCGTAGTCTACTCGTTTTAAACCTTTCGCTTGCGGCTTCAAACCTCAAAGTCAACTAGTGTGGTTCTACAATATACTGTTACGGTTTATAGTTGATGAAGAGGGAAATATTAAACCATGTGGGATTGGGTTGAAAACTCTTGGTGGTGTAGGGTGGCGGACAAAAATATTGAGGGGAGAGATTTTAGACCCTGTTTTACCGTTGTAGCGGGAGCGAGGGACTGTCTCAAGTCCTCTGGCTAAAAACCAGTAAACAACCTTCATACTTAGATGATATTGTTTAGTTAAGTTTACATGCAGACTAACTTTAGTCTGCCTTAGCTTAGTAAGAACATCAGAGTAGCGACAGACCCTTTACAGTCAAGGTTGTCACGTCTAAGTGGGAAAAGGGAAAAGAAATGGCTCCTCGGCAATTTTGACTCAGGACGCTTGATAATTAATGATGTAGTCTAGAAGAACATGCAGCTTAGAAAACGTGGCTTTTGAAGCAAAACGTAGCACAGTAGAGGAAAGGTCACTAGTTTTGCAGATGTAACAGAGAGAAAGTAACATTACATCATAATTCTCTAGGAATGCTGTGGCAGGGTTTTGATGTTCGAAGATTCAAGTGTCACACTGGGGTAAACACTGGTTCTTTTTCTTTTTTTGCAGGTTGTGTTTCTTCTAGATGGCTGTGGTTACTGTGCCAAGATTTTGCCAACAATTGAGAAGATATCTCTAGATGCCAAGTATTTAGGTGAGTACTGTAACATTGTTATACAGTAGTTTGTCATGTTGTGATTTAACAGGGTTGCATGGCATTGTTGTTTTGAATTTAATAGTTAAATTTGTGAATTCCATTTTGATATTTTTCAAATAGGTAAATCTTGCTTAGCATTGGTGTCCTCAAGTAGAATTTTGAAGCTAGATGGAGCTAAATGTCTTGACACTTACATTAAGTTGTCATTCATTCTTCGGAAACGCTTTTACGACGTCTATTGCTCAAGTATCAACGAATGAAGACTGGTGCTCAATAGAGTTGTCATGCAATATTGTTGTGAAGTTAAGAATTTTTGCGTTGTACAAAATTCTACCTTTAAACGAAAGAGAACTTCAAAATGATAGGTTACTAAGATAGAAAAATACCAAAGATATAATAATAAAACAGTAAAGACCAGGGATGGTTGAGATAAGGGCAAGATTGCGATAGATTTCGAATGATAAACTCATTGTCTTAATCATTGTCGTTTTGTTTGCTTCATAGGTGCTTCGGTGTTCGTGCACAACTGTTCATCAGATCCGCTCACCTGTGAGAGATACAGCATTACAGGCTATCCTACACTCACTGCATTCCGCAGTCTCAGCTGGTCTACTGTTGAGAGTTGTTCAAGTTCTCACTCTACTTACCTAAGACTTGACTACCACGGAGTTGTCTTTGTAAGACTTCATAATTTAACAGCTAGTTTAGCCCTATAAGCATCAAAGTAAAAACGTACCACCGGCCAAAACCGCGCGAAAATGTGTGACAGGTTNAGACATGGTATTTGTTGTAATGTTCTTCAATACCTTCATTAATCTATTAAGGCACTGAGGCTCATTTTAGACTCAAAATAAGTGCCATGACTGGCAAGGGTGTGGTGTTTACTAGTGGCGATTCTGTTAGTATTCGATGAGAAGTGTAGAGGGCGAATTAAATGCTGTGATGAAACAGCATTCCCATCAAGGGGGAAGTCGCACTACTCCTTATGGCATCCTAGGTTCAAACACGATTATTAAAGCTAGTTGAGGATAATGAACTTTGATTTCAGTTTTGCAACTTTCCATTGAGCTTTTCTGTTAATATTTCAGGTCTTTCAGTTTTCACTACTTATGTCGAACTCCTCAAAATATTGGGAGTAAAAAACACTTGTTTTTTTGTTTTGATGTTTTTCTAGAAGAGGATTAAAATCTCTCATCTACTGTAAACTCGGTATAAGTGTTAATCACCTTTCGAACAACTGGTCGTGGGGGTGGGGGGTTGGGTAAAGAAACTAAGTTAGCCGCTGGCCTGTTGAGACTATAAGCAAACGTTCCACCCAAAATCGATAGAAATGCGTTTTATGTCGAGCTCCACGTGAATTAAGATTTATGTGAAACTGTTGTCCCTCTGTACTTCAATATCTGAGTTCCTTCTCTCTTTTCAGGATGTGGATGTCAGGTTAATTGGTACTTTGTACACGCGGTCCTTAGCTCGCCGCTATCTGGCGACAACTCTCGTGAACAAGTGGTATCCATTTAACTGTTTTCAGCTGGTCTGCGAGCTTCTTTATGGTCGAGTACCATGCTATGTAACGTACACTCGAGATGTTGTCGATTACGGTAGCAAGGTGAACGCTAAAGATCAGGATCTTGTTTTGTCGAAGGTGAGTTCTTTGCAGAAGACACGCGGTTGTTAGAGACAGTTTCAACTCTCGCCCTTGCGGACAACCCACTATTAAGACAGAAGCTACATCCCCGTACGACAAAACGAATCGACTTATCAATCTTCATCGACGTCAAAAAAATTCATGCCAATATACTTTTTGTAGTTCCACAATTAACACGAACTATTAGATAACAACTATTTGAAATGAAAGGATCCGAATATGTCGGGAGGGCTTTACTCTAGCTTATTCTTTTTTTTCGAGATTCTCTTTGTTGCATCATTTCTAATCTGTTTTTTCCCTCGTTTGTTTTTAGCTTGAGCTTCAAAGAAGTGATGGTGTGCGAGTCAAAGTGTTTCAGTTGGGTCAAAATGTGGAATCTTTAATCAACAACCAGAGGGACACGAGACTGCACATGTTTCACGACACTCATAGGTTTGTTCTGTCGAATTGGTTCAGTTGTCTTGACCATCTAAACGGATCTAGCGGTATTGGTGGTAGACTTGTCATAAGTCGACTTCTTGTTAGCACTTATCTTACTGCGAGAGGTCCGTGTAACGTCTCTGATTGGTCAAATGAGAACAAAACAACCAATCAGAGACTACTTCATGGGTATGGAATATTTCAGCTTATGACTTCTTTGGTATTCTTCTAGATTCGATGGCTATCAGATTTTGAGGTTCGCCACAATTAATTAAACTCATCAGCAATAAATGGGCTCGGAGAATGGTGCCTGAATGGATAGTGGAGCCCAACAGCAAACTGAACCGGTTGTCCAGCAGCGAAAACACGCGGAATGACTTGACACCCGAAGTCGAGCTGTAAAATCACGGTTTCCCTGCACAAATTCCCCGGCCACCCCGTACACCACCCTTAAGGAGCTGCTGGCGAGCAAAATTGTTTCGCGTTTAACTTAGCCTGAATTACATTTAGCCACTTTAAAAAAAAGTTTTTCATCGGGAACTTACTCAAAATTCGTGAAGCATAATGTTATTTATACATCTATATCATTACACGTCAATTATATTTGAACTAAGCAGTCGGCATTGCAACTTGAATCACGTCAGAACTTGATGTTTCAGATACGACTTGCCAAAGAACTTCAAGTGTGAACACGACCACAAGATCTGCACTGACATTGCCGTGCGCTTTGTTCAAGACCACCGGCGTCTTCCAGTCCTTCACATGACGTCAGCGGCATTTCACACCAAGTTAGGGTCAGTACAAGAGAGCAAGAAAGCGAAAACACGAGTGAACGAGAGTTAAGCTATGATTGTTAAATGATAATGAGGTTTCTTCAATTCTCATTTACTTTCGTCGGCGCGTGGTCAAACTTGCTGAAAGCGGGTGAGAGTTGGCCTCTTCTGCGCATGCTCGTCAAATGAGTGAACTCCCGTCGACTCTCGTGTAAATTTAAGCTGGTTGATATTCGATGACGGCGCAAGAGTGAGAGAGAGTGGAAGATCAAACGATAATAGCAGATTGATTTTTTTTTTTCTGTCTTACGGTCACGATGATTTTGGTGCATTTGTGGACAAAACGTTGCTAAAATTATAATTACCTGTGCTCATACACGAAATATGACAAGAACCAATATCAAGTTGAAAATGTTACGGAATTGGTTGCGAAATTAGAGCAGATTGAAACAGGGTTTTAGAAGTTTTCTCAAGGCAAAATGTTTAGAATCTGGGAAAAGAACCTGCCCAACTTTTACTATTTAAGATCAAAACCTATTGCTTATTACAAAACCTCTTAAATATAATATATCATTTGGCTTTTGACGTTTTAAAGGCATGCTCGTGACAGTGCCCCCTTAAATTGCATTCTCTGACTGATCGTAACAGTTTCTTTTGTTTCTTTTACAGTTCTGAGGAGAATGCAAACTTTGAACCCTTTGCACACAACTTGCCCATTTTATTTGCACTGGCACACAAAAACAACGTATCCAAAGACAGCTCTTTTTACAAGGTATGAAAAACAAAATGTCACGGCTGAGTTAAAGGAGTTGCGTGACAGATACGTCACGTTTCAATGACAGACCAACGAAAGGTAGTTCAACTATATGCTGTTTTTCCTAGGAGCTTACAGAGTCAGCTTACGCTATGTATAGCGAGATGGTTTTTGTTACCCTGGATATTGATGAGTTTGCGCACTGGGCGAGCCGCTTTGTACCCAAAGACTATCATACCAAGCATGCTTTTGGTAAGTAGCTTTGTTTGACTCACTAGCCTTAGAAGTCTCATAAAAAAAATCGATATAACGTGCGCAATTTTCAGTTAAAAATCGGCGTATACTAAGGGGACATGGTGCGGGGAAGTGAAGTGGGGACAAGCTCCTTCATGTGTACGCATAGGACGCTTGTTTCAGGGACAGTACGCAAGCTGGCGCACACGTAGCGGATATTGGTTCATTTCTATGTTATAGCGGGGACAGTTTGCAAAAACAGTCCGCGCGATGCGAAATTTAAAATTGAGGTCTGCCGTCATTTGTCCCTGCTTCATGACCCTCGAATTCAAACCAGCTGAATTTCATTCAACAGTTTGCGGGAACACAATTTTGTTCCCACATGTCATACGAGGAAAACTGTCGCCGCATCATTTCCCCTAGTGTGTGCCGACCTTAATGGTGCAGCAGAGGTACGTAATGACATTCGGTAAATTCACAGGTTAGATTTAGCTGGGAGTAGTGCTCCAAGACGCATTTACACACGCGCTCAGACTCGTAAGATATATTAGCAAGATACAAGCCAAATAATTGTATCCTATTTTATGATGAATATTTGGCTATGGATCCGATAAAAAGTGGCATGTGGACCGGGTTCGAAACGTATTGTTCACACTTTGTTTTGGAAAGGTCTTTAAAACGTTGTAGTGTGAACTGGGTGAAATACTGATTTACACTAGGCCTACAACTGTATTTAGTTTGTTTTGCGCTATAAACGGCTTTCAAAACCTGACCCCAGTTGTTAAAGGCTTGATAACGCTATCCAGTGGATAAGTCTTAACAAAACAAACCACGCTATCCACTGAATAGTGATTTATCCGGTGGATAGTGTTATCCACCTTTCGAACAACCTGGGCCAGAAGTCTTATAGACTTCTGCCATAATAGACAAAAACCGATAATTCTACGAAATCATGAACACCAAATTATTGTGCCTGTAGATTTTTTCTTATGGACCTTTTTGTTTTGCCCTTTTCCATTTAAAGTGTAGACTACGAGTAGTCCCTCTTTCACATAGTCCGTCGTGCGTGACGCGAAAGAAAACCGCGAGAAAAAAAAGGGCTGTGCGAAATCCTGGGGGCGAAAAGCGCCAGGATTTCTCCCACCCATTTTTTACTCGCGGTTTATTTACGGTCTCGCTCGACGGACTAAGCGAATAAGGAACTACTCGTAGTCTATTTAAAATTTGGCTCGGTTCCCGAGTTCCTTTTCCTTGTAACCTGTAACAAAAGTTTGTCCCTTTATTTAGGAAGACAAGCCGAGAACGTTCCAGCGTTGTACCACTACCCCCGGTTGTGCATTATTCAACACCAGGATCACCAACACGCCGCGTTCTATCCTCCTATCGAGGAAATGCAGAGGCTGGGGACTAGAGTCCAGGCACGTCTCGACCAGATCACTTCCCAACAGATTATTAAGTTCGTTCAGGATTATTTAAAAGACCCCGCGGCGTTAATTGTGAAAACTGAATTTTTCTAAATGCCAGAATTTAATGTAAATATGAGAATATCAAAGCTAGCTTGTGACTTTGCCATCTTAAGGGATGCAGGCAATTCCCGGAGTAGAAGGTCTGTAGTTGCTAGTTGGGCAGTAGGCCACAACCGTATTCCCGGTATTAGATTGGAACTAGCTTGCAACTGAGGCTAATGCAGGGAGTCTTTTCAAATGCAAATGACATTAATCTCTTTTTAATGATATTCCCCTGCATGAGCCTCAATTGCAAGCTAGTTCCAGTCCAGTACCGAGAACACGAATATGGTCCATTAAGGGAAATGATTCTGTAGAGAAAATGCCCTTTCGATGGAGATAGCATAAAGTTAAAATGGTCTGGATCAAACATGATATAGTTAGAATTCTGCAGCAATTCAATACTTTGCTATATACAAGAAGGATATTTATTTTTATACCTATTTATTTAAGTTTTATTACTTTGTAATAGTTGGTACTTTTAACTTTTTACATAAATGAGCTGTGCTTATTACACGACTGTGTTTTTGTGTGAAATTCTACAGCGTTTCTGTTTCTTTTTTAATACTAACTGAAGGACATTTTTTTTTTTTATAAAAATCCCTTTTGTGGCTAATTTTCGTTTTAAGCTGTCTCTTTTCTTTGCCTTAACGAAATAACCACCTGTCGATGAGCATGGGTTCGCTTACTCAGCAATATTTAAATTTGCTTTTATGATCAATTCATTGCTTTGCCGCTTGTTCGCCGCTTATCAGAAAGCGAGCTCCGTAGCGCTAGTCATCTTCGGAAGTCTGGGAACGACTCGAGCCAATGCACCTGTACCAGCTATTCCATCAGAAGCGTAACCAGTATTAACCATACAGTCGCTGGCCATGCGGTGCAAGTCACTGTGTTACTAACTCCGTTTGTGTAAAGTCCCCTGACTTCCTTTGAAAATCTCGGGTTTTCCGTTTGTGTAAACGTGTTTATTGTCTTGCCTGACGCGACAGTTTCTGTACCAGTTTGTGTCTGATCTGTTGAGGACACTGCAGCCGTCGTTTTTGGGTCTGTCGTCCTGGAACATCCTAAAATGGCCATAAGCAAGAAATATGTTTCAGTTAGTCTTTTTAATACACCTTTGGTAAACTTATATTTTTACACAATGCAGCTACTTCCGTTATTTAGAATACTGATACTTACGCAACTAACTTTACAGTACATCTACTGACACAACTTAGAATACAACACAGCTACTTTACACTACTTGCAATACTTGACATTGTTTACAATACTAACACATCTACTCTACACCACTTACAATACTTATACAGCTACTTTGCACTGTTTACGATACTAACACAGCTACGTTACTTTATCTACGATACTAATACAGCTGCATTATACTAGCAAGACTAATAGCCACTTTACACTATTATTTCTTACTTTCTATGTCTTAATTTTAATACATGAAAGTCAAAGGAACACTCGGCTGCCGCCATCTTGAATTTTCACACTAGAGGAGGGACTGGGTTCGACTTTATAAGAAACGTACCTTGGTAAACCTGGCACAAGTAAATTTCCACCCTCATGCATATTTGACCGAGTAGTCTCCAGGCCCTCGGGTTAAATCGAACAAAACGAGCTCTGATTCGCCGCTCAAACATGTTCTTGTGAACTGTCATCTCGTCCCAGTTTCCACGGAACACCTGTGAATCAATAACAAAATTTGCTGCAGCACCTCGACAGTGGGAAAGTCGCATTTTAGTAGATATCGTTGTCTCTTATTCTTACCTTCGCCTTCCCAGAGTGATTGCTGTAGGTTTCCCACAGTAAGCCGTCCAAACTGTAATTTAGCGTATATTCTGTTACCCAGGTCCCCATCGAAGAACCTTGAGTCGCAACGCCAGAGATGTTTCGAACCTTTTTTAAGTCGACCTGCGAAAATGATAAAATGTGTACTAAAACTTTCACGGGGCTATATCATAAACATGACTTCGAAACGTTAAAAGTCAAAAGGCACATTTACATCAATGGAGACTACAAATAATTGTGTAGCTTTGTTAAAAGATTACTGTACTAGTGCATTTAATATTTAAGCTATTTAAGTGATGCTATCATGAATTTCACATGCACCAGGTTTTAATCTCAAATTGCAAAATTCGGGCAGAATGTTTCAAATTCCACCCTTGTGTCTTGGAAAAATTGCTAAATACCAACTGCAATTTGTTCTTTGTTCAATTCAATTCTTTATCTTGAATGAGCGAAGCTTTCTTTGCAGTTGTTGGAAGTTTGACACATAAACGATGTGTGGACTGGTACCTGTATGTATTGGAACACATCATCAGTCTTTGCACACCAGCTCCCCCACAATGTAGAACCATTGACTTGTTTGACCTCGTTATTGAGCCTGCCTTGTGACGGGTGGTGTCCCTTGATAAAACTGGACGCAGAAACCTGTTCATCAGGTATTTGCCTTTTCTCCAATCCTGCTGCAGCGCGGCAGTCCTTGTAGCGACCGTCTGTCGAAGGATTAGTGAAAAGAAGAATCAACTTAGTGCTTTGTGTTGATTTATTGAAATCACTAACCCATACGTTTAAACCATCTGAAATACCAAAAAAAAACACTCTGGAATACCAACATGCTTTGAAAAGCTGGACACCAAAGTGCCATCTGACCAATCACAGCAAATGTAAATGACCAAATAAACCAATCAGAACTCGAGGCGCTTTTGCAACACCAGTGTCAAGCGCAGGAAAACATGCCACCCGTGCCAAGTGCAAGGAAACATGCGCATGCAGGCATTAATTACAGGCGCGTAAAAAAATCTAACAAGTATCAAAGGCAGGAAAACATGCGGCCCGTACTAAGCGAGGAAAAACATGGTATCCTTGCCAAGTGCGAGGAAACATGCAAGCTTTGTCTGTCGCGGGGAAATAAAACAGGTTAAAGGCAGGACAACATACAACCCGTCCCAAACGCGGGAAAACGCACGTCAGCCTAGTCATGGCTAGTTTAAACATTGATCCATCCTGATTGGTTGATCAAACTCACCAGGATTGGTAAGGGCACTTTGCATGCGTTCTTTCAACCAATCGTTGAGCTCATCAAACAAAAATTAAGATAGACTTGTATTTTGTTTTTTAAATTCTTTCAGTGAAACTGTTTTTTTTTTTTTTAAATAACCCACTCATGAATGTGATTAGCAGAGACTCAGAGTCAGAGATGCGATATCTCCTAGTTATGGACTCATCTGAATTTACCTTTCGTGCTACATCCATAAACTTCTACTCTCATGCACGCGGTGCCGTGTGCATTCCATTCCAATGCTCTGATTCTTATCACTTGTGCTATGATAGCCTCATCTAGCTTGTTTGTCACGACGGAATTGTCATCGCTGTTTCCCTTTAGTGCCTACGAAAAATTCAGCATGTCGTTAGAAATTTGTTACATGTCTGAAATGGTCTCTCGTCTCCTATAAAAGCTGGAGTCTCTCAGATTATGACAGACTGGGCTCTGACCACTCAATTCATTTTCACATGATATTGCCTGTATCTTCTGTTTTGTTGACATTGTTGCAATGTTTAAAACAATTTTAAACAAGGGCGTAAATTAGTGGACTCAGATTCCTTCTAACACTGTAGGTTTACAACTTAGAGAACCAGTTTGACTTTTGTTTTAGTTTTTGTTTTCTTGTTTGTTTTTTCCATTGCTCCCACCTTGAATAACTGTGATGCATATTTCGGGTTCAAAAGTATTTCCACATGTTTCTGTTTTCTTCAATTCTTGAATGATTTTCTTTTTATGCTACTATTGCTGTTGTTGTTCTTAGAGGCAATGCTGTCTGAATATGGATATTTACCGTGTGTTTGTCAAAAGTTTGATATGTTTTCCAGCTCACTCCGCCGTCACAACTGTAGTTTAACGAATACTTTTTGACCCAGTTCCCCAGTGGATAGTCTAAGCCCTGCGTGGCCACGCCTGTTATCACTGTTTCTTGGCCGAAATCAATCTGCAAGTATGGATTATCGTCCCAGTCCATCGCACACCAACCACCAAAGGTCTGGTGCTGAATACGTCTACACCGGGAAAACACGAAGAACCAGTTAGTAAGTTTGTTCATCTTTCAAAGCGAAAGAAACAACATCGCGGAGTTAATTAATTTAACATTAGAGCGGTTTTCATTTGAGTGTCGAAAAGTATCTGATTTTGCACCAACTACGCTACACGATTGGCTTAAAAAACTCGCGCCACTTTTTCGTCCAATCAGAAGTAAAACCAAGCTCACTCGCACTCGTTTTCCCGCGCTTTGCGTCAGCTACATGTAATTACTTTGAGTTTTTGATTGGTTCACTGAATTGTCTGCGTCCTTTGTGATTTGTTGGAGTAATTGCTTTGGTTTTGGTTTTACGACACTCAGTTGTAAAATGCTCTATCCTGTGATGGCATTTAAAGTACTTAAAGAAGCTACGTCACGGTTTGGACATCTTGAAAAGTTTAGCCTGATAAATTTTTGAAGTTCGTCGTTTGGAATCCGTGTTAATCTTCTCCACACTTAACCATCCTTGTTTCTTTTCTTTGGGTGTTTTTTTATCTTAGTAAACTATTATTTTCAAGTTTGCTTCAATTTAAAGGTAATTTTATACGTGGCCAAAACAAATCAAAATTCCGTGAAAGTGTATGCTTATCTATTAATAAGGTGGATGAAAGCGGAGTGTGTGACCTTTCAAAGGAAAGCTATTGAGTAGTACTTTCACGAAGGACTATCACATACTCTGTAACGTGGTTCTAATTTTAAGTTTGTAGGTGAAACCCTAGTGTGTGACCATTTAAATGAAAGCTATTGTGCAGTACTTTCATGTGGTATTGTTTATTCTGCTGTAAAAAGTGGTTCTAACTATGAAGTCTGTGGATGAAACCCTAGTGTGTGACCGTTCAAATGAAAGCTGTTGTGCAGTACTTTCATGCGGTGCTGTATGTTCTCCTGTACAAGGTGGTTTTAACCTAACTTTAACGTTTGTTGATGAAACCCTAGTGTGTGACCATTCCAATGAATGCCATTGAGCAGTACTTTACATTGAGCTACAACTTTTGTGCACGAAACCCAAGTGTGCAATAATTTGATGTTGTAATGTTTATTTTGCTGTGAAAGGTGATTCAAACTTTTAAGTCTCGCCTGTAAATAAAATCCTAGCTAGTGTGTGACCGCTAAAATGAAAACTATTAAGCATGCAATGCTTTAACGTGGTAAGTTGGACTTTCATCTTGCGAGGTATTTGTTGGTGAATTCAACAAAAAATACGCAATTTTTCGGTTAAAATGCTTTGGGTTTTTTGAAGCAAAAGAAACATGGAGATCTTATTAAAATCAAACCAAGGAATTCACAAACATTGCGTGCTGTACTAAACATCACACTGGTTCCCGCCCACCTTTCGTTCCAGAGTCTGCCGGCAAAAGGCTGCGTCCACACCGAGTTAGAAGACGAGGCAGTAATCTGAGAGTCCCGGATGTCGCCCGTGGCCATTCCCAAGGCAAGATTACAGTCTGTACAATGGAATAAAACACCATTAACTTTATAACAAAATAAGCCTCGAATTTTTAGTAAACTGAGCTAGAAAAGTATAAAAATGTAACAATCATTAATCACGAAGAAATATGAGGGTAATTAAGGTTAAGAAATACTGAAAAGAACTACGAATGATGATTTAAGAAACATGACGTGGGAAATTTTTCACGATCTACGTGCGATCAACGACCTCCATAATACGCGCTCAAAGCTAGAAAGTGAACATGTGCGGAAATATCAAATTTACCAAGGGGAAAAAAAACAGTATTGAGATAAGTAGGTATTTTGAGTAGTTTTGCAGCCCCATAGAGATCGAATGTAGGCCCGCACAGTTGATTTATGATTTACGTACAACAAGGGCCATATGTTAAGCCGTTCTATTGCGGTATCACAAAGTAGGCGTATCTGAAATGAATCTAGATTGAGCTATGACTGGTATTCCACAAGTTATTTACAGTTCAAGTGCCAGAGTTTGATTTATTTTTTCAAGCTCTCCAATAAATAATTGATCACTATTGTGTTTTTTTTCTTTTCGCGAGTGTTTTATTTTCGACAATTATGTCAGTGAGAACATGCGAAAGTTTATTCTCAGAACGTAGAAAAAAGTCAGTATTTTCTCTGTGCCAAAACGGGACATATTGAACCATTATCTCGCGAAATTGGAACCTGGCAGTCTTCCGACTAGTCTTGGGAATTCACTTTCTATCAAGTGAAACATTTACCTCCGTCGAAACACAAATTCTCTTTTTGACTTGAGTACGGCGAATTCGAAAATAATTTTCCATGACTGTTATGAAAGGTCCTCAACGTGGGATGATTAATAAGGAATGTCTAGTTCAGTTGGAAAGCTAAGTTATATTAGGTAGAAAGTTGTTCAGCGAGCTTTTCACTTCTTGAGCAGAGCGCTAGCCAGGAAACGAAGCCGTGGTACAGGATGCGAACATTTCAAAGAGCTGACGGTTTTCTCTCATGCAGTTTTATTTAGTCTCCTGAAAAGAGAACGGCGTGGATCCCAGGAAAGTTAAACTCCTGCTTTAATAATTGCCATTCATTATCCATTTGCTGTCTTGATAAAGATGTGCACACTTTATTTTCACTACTCAAACCTCTGCAAACAATTTAAAGACCTTTTGTTCACAAGTAGCTTAAGTTATAGGTCACCGGCAAGTTATTACTTCACTAAATAAATAAATGATAAGTAGCTATAGTCTGCTCAAAATAAACGACCTGTTTTTCACAGGCTTATGTTTAGTAGTAATTTAGAGGTAGGCAATTCGGTCAGTTGCCTACGGAATTTTAACTTATTTTCAAGCTCTGCTCGTTCAATGATTCGTAATTAGCATGAATAAGGTTTAGAACTCTTCCTCCCAAGTTTCAGAATTTTTTTACCTTTGCAGACAGCGGTGCATAAGTAAGTGGAATACTCCAATTTCGAGCGAAGAAAACTGATTTTCGAGAACGGTTAACCTCTTCAATTCCAAATTTTTACTTGTCATTACCGGGCGATTTAAGCCAGAGTTTTTTCATACTTTATCCAATTTTCACACCGATTTGCAGTATCTTTATTCGTTCCTTCAACTTAACTTAGTATTTTATCCTGTAAAAGTCAATTTATATAAAGTTAAAATATTCGAGAAGATGATAAAGTGAACTGATATTCAATGAAGGCGTGTCCATTCCTACCCCTGTGTTCAGAAAAGTCTTCTCCAGAAGCTAAAGACAGGCGTGTCAAATGAAAAACTATCATTATTAAAACATCATTCAATGCTTCTTATCCTCTACTTCAGGTATTAATTGTTGAAATTCCATGATTTACAATTAGTCTAACTCAGTAGATCATCACAGCGATACAGTGATAATCCTGAAAATGTATGACGTGACCTGCCTTGACAGCACAAGTGTTTTCTAAGGTTAGACCGTTGACAGTAATTAATAATCATTAATCTTGTTCCTTGACAGTCCATCTCAAAGTGGTTTCCGGGGCAATTTTATGTCTGCCGCTCGGGAAAGCATGCAACGTCCAAATTTACACATAATTAATCATTTGGAGATTTCAAATGACGCGCCGCCCAAAGAACGCTTTGCTTATCTCATAAATTCAGAAGGCATTTTAGAACATGACGAAATATTTCAAGTTAATTCTTATTCTACTTATCACGAATAAAATCACTGATTAAAAACCTAAAAACAGGCAATGAAATATCAAAATGTTTTCTGTTGTTTTTTTTCTGTGTGTATGGCATTGTCGTTAAAATTTAAAGTCCATTACAGCCCAACAAAGTTATGTTCGGTTTCGCGTAAATAATTCTGAAATTGTTTTAAACGATGCACTTGGGTTTTTTGTTTACATAAACCGGCAAAGCACTTGTTTCGCAAGGAATTATATACTCCCTGAATGTAACAACCTTTGTAAGAAAACGTAGCACTTTAAGGTTGACAAGTATATTGACTTCAGAGAACCTCTAACAAGGTGACTAATCTCTTTGTAATCCTCTGTTGTTAGCAGAGGAAAAACCGGTTATCAAAGGAACTATCGATCCGGAATCAGTCTACAAAAGGGCAGAGAAACTCTGCTCAGCCACCAACTACAAATCATATAAACATCTCAAATATAGTATTCGAGTTTTAAATGATCCTTTGTTGTATATTTGACGATTTTATCGCGGCTTTTCGAAGCGCAATCGGCGAAGGTCCGTTCTCATTCTCCAAAACAGGAACGAAGATTCACTACAGCAATTTATCGGCCAATTCACTCACGGTCACTGCAACTTATAAACAGTCAACTTGTCCCAATTGTATCAGTAGTAACAAATGATATGAATCTCTTACTAGAATAGAATTGAAAGACCTTCTTCACAGCTTAAAGATGCACATTTTACATGTTTTTTGTGTAAGAATGAAGGTATATATAATATAATGTTGATGTTGATCTCTGATGAAGTTTATTGCTCAATGTTATCAAAATATAGAATGAGTTCAGAGTTCTCATGTGTTCTTTAGTAGATTATGTAGGGATTTTTCACTGCACTTTCGGTTTAGTTTTAAGATATTATTTAGTCTTATTTAAGCACACTTCTAAAACCATCTAAGAGACAGTCATTCAAGACTCGATTGTACTCACCAGACTCAACATGGTGGATGAAGGAAAGAATAAAAGCGATAACAACGCCTGTAGATGCAGCCATCTATTTCTTAGCAATAGTCCAGGTTATCTTTTTATAATTGGCGAGTTGTGAAGAAACAAAACGAGTCCTTTTCTGTAACCTTTTCGTTGTAGGTCGTTGTGTAATGCTAGCCGACTGGTCGGACAAATAAAGAGATAATTAATCTTCGTCAATTACCGTTCTGTCTCATTTTGGTATGCGCGCTAGTTTCAATTACGTGATGTTTTGTGAAAAGATAAAATATAAGGCAGCTTCTTCGGTAAACAGTCAATCTTACTTACCAAGTACAGACTTGGAAACTAACGTGAGGTCAAAATTATCATAGAAACATCCAACCATTCCTCAGCTATCATTCCATTAAATTGAGCTTCTACTTTGGAATGATAGAAGATACCGGAGAGCATCGGAAATCCGTTCACCTAAGTAATTTGCCAAACTATTGGCTACTCGTTTTTTTCGAGTATTCTGGCAGTCACCGAGCTAGCTTATTAATAACTTTCCTTTGTTGAATCAGAATTATTTCATTTTTATTTAGTTCAGTATTTTTTTTTCATTTTTTCAACTCACTTTATGATTTTGAACATGTTTTTTCAAACCTCCTGCTTTCTCTCAACTTTATTCATTTCGCTCAGCTCGCGTGTCACGTGACATGTTTTGACCAATCGTGCGGGAGCGGCAATTTTCAATAGTCTGGATTCTGCCCTTACTGCATGTAAGAAAATAAAAGTATTTAGCTGTGCTCATAATGCTAGAAATTTATAGTTGGCTTTAGGCTTGTGGAACTAGACAAAAATTTCAAGCAGTTTAAGACCCACGTACGGAGACTAGATCTAGACAACATCCTAGATGGATGCAGTGGCTGCCATCTTTGTAACTCATAATTTTAATTTCTCTTATAGGACTTTTCTGCATATTATTTTTAGATAGTTCTGTTAGGTGTCCCCTATTAGCAGTGGGGATTCTCCACTGCTAGATGTAACTGACACGGTAATAAAGTCAATATCATCATCATCATCATCATCATCATCATCATTATTATTATTATTATTATTATAACTAGAGAACGTTGGCCAAAAGTTGCAGTCAGTTGCATGAGTTGAGAAATAAGGCCTTTTTTTCTTAACTGACAGCTGAGATTTGACATCTGCAAAATTTCCTGATAGTTGAGAAATGGGCTCAAATTTGAACTGGTAGCTCAGAAATCGCCGAGTATTTAACTGATAACTAAAATTCCATACCCTCACCATAGAAGTCTTACAAGTATCAGATCGAGAGGTCTGGGTTCCAGCCTTGTTAGAGTCCTTGTTTTTAGGGGGGCAAAGCATTTTACTTCCGCAGGGTATCTATAATGAACTAAGCATTAAGTACTAAGTACTAAGTACTTTGCCAGGGAAAAGACCCTGGGAACGAGGTTGCTAAGTACTTCACCCTTCCGGAAATTAAAACCGGAGAAATTTTTACTTATAACAATGTATTAGCCTTAACGGACCGTAAAGAAAATTGTGTAAGGCGCAACAAAAAATCTTCGATATTATGTATATATTGTACAACGCCGGAAAATAGCCGGAAAAACAATGTTGAATCAATATTGAAGGTAAATTAAAAATGACCTACTTACTAAATTTCTTTAAATTGTTCTGACCAGGATCATACGACGGAGTAATCTACATGTTATTTTCCCCACAACATGTAACACTGAAATGTCGTTTCATTCCCGGAAACGGCTGTTCCTTTTGGAAAATCTTTGTTGAGTCACCCTGTTAAAGTTTTTCCGAATCTTGTCACCCAATCAAAAGCAAGCTCGAGCACTCACGAGTACCAGTACTGCGCAACCAGGCACGCCAGCATGACGTAATAAGTATACGTCACGTTGCTTAGCAACGCCGGTGACGAAAATGTCGTCATTAACTGGTACTTTATATTTCCCCGCGTATTCAGTGCAGGATAGTAGTGAGCGATTGTATTCTATCTATCAACATCATTTTCCTTTGAGTTCCCAAAAGAATATAAAAGTTTTATTTTTGTAATCGATCCGGATATAGTATTCTTGACCTCACAAGCTTGACTCTCCCACAAAAAGATGCAAAATGGAATTCCCGCCTCAATCCGATTAATACCACTGGCATGTCATTGATATGTGTACGTCCTTGGTGTAAGTTTCTTTTAACATAACTGGAACCTTTCCGGATACAGGCAACCCTTGCCACAAGCTATATTAATAGACTTGATATTTTACTAGCTTTCCTTTTCAGGTAGAATCTTATACCCAGAGGAAAAAGGCGACAAGCATGTGTACACTCGATAAAAAAAAATAATAACACAGACGAGGAGGTGCAGACGGCGCCGAGATTAAACACCCCCTAAAATACCCGTGTCATAAATATAAGACGTCCAAATATGCCCCAAGAGACTCCATATAAACATAATAAAATGTGCTAAGCCTCACCTTAAGCCCGAAAGTGTTTCTTAAAACACCTCCCGACCTAATAAATGTCAGAGTAAGGTTTTGGCTCCCCCGAAAAACGTTTGTTTCCAATCTCATAACAAATTGGAATTTCCGTGTCACTTTCCCGTCAGTTTAACTCTTCTTCCCTCCCCCTCCCCACCCCCCACCCCGTCACCACGAGAAATGCGTATGTTTATTTTCGGCCAGGTAGTACGTCCTAACCGTTAGAAGCAAACTTCGTCTTTATAGGCCTTTCCGAGACAGAGTCCATGCCTGGAAGTAACCTGTGTAAGTCCAGCGTTCATTCCTATTTGCGGACCTATTTGTTAGACCGATTCGTCATTCCGCGACTTCTTAGGAGGAAATTTTGTCTGATGATAAGGGGAATGGTTTCTAGCAAAACTGTTCTGCTGTATTAGCGAACAAGGCAAAACCTTGAAATCGTCTCTTTTTCAACTTGGACATTGTTATAGAAATTGACCGCCAATGTAAAGCTATGCCACTGACGATTCGGGCGTCAGCCCGTGTGTTACCACCATATAAAATATCCTGAAGCCTCACAAATCTCAGGCATAGAAAGCCCTGCTATTATATGCCATTGAAAAAAAAGCTCATAGATTTAACTCCGTAAAGAACCAGCACAAAGTAATATACAGAATACAGATCACAATGATTTCCCATCATTTTGAATGAATGACATTTCTTTTTCGTTATAACTGTTGTCTCTGTTTGATTATAATTCAGAGTCGTTTCATTGAACACATGTATGTAAGAGATGCGGCCGTGCTGTACATTTTACTGCAAGTATGTAACTTAACTTGGGTTACTTTAGAGATTCATCATTTTATGTTGAGACACTTGTACCATACGATATTTTCCTTCATACCTATTCTTTTTAAAGTTGTTAAATGCTTCGTACCATTTTCTTTCAAACTTACATTTTTTTTTTACTTTTCTGATTAGATATCTCTCTCCTACCTGCTGCCAATACCTTGACGATTTATCGAGCAAATTGAAATACGAAGCCCAGGGCTTTTTGGAAATTTTAAGGATCTTTAAGGTATCTTGGTAACATATAACGCGAGAATTAGGATAAAATTGCCAAAGTTAAGTATCTCGATTCTTGTGACTCGATTGTCCTAACGGAGACGTGCAATTCCACACGACGCGAGGTTTCCAGGCAACCAAGCTCGAATACTGGAACACACAACTACTTTAAATAGTCTTTTCAAGAAACAAATATCCTGATATATCATAAAGCAGAATTTTGGTAAAAAAAACAACAACGTAGCGGAAATCCTGGCAGCCGTATGGACAGCTCAGTGATGAGATATTTAACGGGTTAAAACGGGCGTACACATGCGCTAAGTAAAGGCAAAACTTGGCTTTGTTTTGATGTCTTCTTTGCTGTTTATTAATCAATCAATCAATTTATGATTGCGTGCCGGGTAAAAGAAACAGGGAAAGAAGAAAATTAACGAGAAGGATACTTGAAGAAAGACTGTTTCAGTTCGTTTTTTCTCTTGAGAATCTGCGAGTCTGGAAAGAAGTTATTCTTAGATTATTTAATGATTGATAAAATGTTACGTGGCAATCGATCGGTTAGCGCGAGAACGGGGCGAAATTACAACTTTTTATACGATTGTTTGACCGTCGTACTGTTCCATCGTCAGTATACCGTACTGCTTGAATGAGACCTATATGAACCCATAAAAAACTTTTCAGTTCAGTTTTGGACGAAGAGGTCCACAAAAAAACAGAATCAGACTGCTTCATGCATCTATTTCACCGAGCACTGCTTGTAAGAACCAATATAATTAAAGGGAAAAAGCAAGATTTTCCTAACTTCGTTTTAAATTTAATGGCGTCACTATTATATCCACGTGGGAACCGAGTTAGTAATTTTCATTCCCTCTTGTGTATTTGAAAATAAAAAAATTTCGATATATCTCATATATTATTCTAGAGCAAACTAGCTTATTTTAGGCCGAAAAGGCAAAATCTATGACTCTTTCGGGTTTACACAACTAAAAGACATACACTTTTAATTAGGCCTGCACATAATCTGATAGGACGTGAGACCACTTTAATATGTACCCCGATACCGCAACTCCCTTTCTCTGTCCCACAATTTTTTTTTTTTTTTGGTTCCAACATTCTAAACTGGTAACCCAGATCTATATGTGTGAGTGGTTTATGGTTTATCGCAGTTTCGATCGTGGCGTGGCGATCCGCCAATCGATCCACCAAGAGTGAACTCTAAGAACCTCTCCAAACCGCCAAACGCGTAAGTATGATGTCGAGTCGTTTGCGAACTTCCTAGGTGGGCGGAAACACGCTATCACCACGCACCTTCGATTGGCGCGGAAAACGTAACCCCTCAACCCCGTTGAGAGATGTCCGGAGGTGTAACCATTGTATGACATGACTGATCAGTCACTTACAAGAGCTTTGGTCTTTGAGCAAACTAACATAAGATGGAAATTATCAAAAGTAAATTACGTGCACAGATAACCTTTTTCAACCTCAATCGTTCTCTTCTCTAACAATTCTGGATTTTTTTCCCTTTCTCAGCGTTTTCACGACAGGTTTTATAGCTAGAAAGAGTGAAAGTTGTCCGACCTTTGTATCTTTCATTCCTCGCGTATCATCCCGTATTTATAGCCAGCGTATGATTGATGATTTTCTACCCCTCTGCAAGAGCTCTGTCAGACAGTCTGGTTTTTGATGTTCAGCAGTTTCGTAGTCAATTATTAATATCAGATTAAATATGAAACTTATATCATAGGGTAACAAAACTGTTTCACAGCTTTTTAATTCCAACGTTAAGCCCTTCTGAATATAAATAATGTTGATCTGTCGAATTTAGATGTTCTTGATTGTTCTGGGATGTCCTTGAGACTTGATAGCTTTGTTTGTGTTTGTGCCTATGTCATTTCCACCCGAAATGTCAATCAAACCGAAAATAAAAATCCTATTAGTGGATTGAAACACAATAGCTGTCTTGTGTGCTCCCTTTGTGTGAAACGCATGTCTTGTCGAATTGTACATCGAAATAATTGTCTCCGAACAAACGAATCAGTTTAAATCGTGAAAGCTTTACAAAGAGTTATGAGGATAAAGCCATACTTACTTTGGGGACTTCTCTTAATTTCATGGATGAGGGACGTTCATGGAGGTAAGAATCTCGAAGTAGTCTTTGTGTGAAGTTAGCGCTAATGGAATCACATACCTCGAAAGGAAATGCGGAGCTGTTTCGGTATTTGGTAATTATTTCACGAAAATGTGTAAGTTGGGATTTAAAACGTTGCTCATTCGCCCGTTGATAGCTTCGGTAAATCACTGCAACCCTTTTGTTGAGCTAATGGCGACTTCTAGGAGTGTAAATCGAAGTCCTGTTTTGTCTACGAGAAGCGTACCGCGGTCTCTTGTTGAACGAATAATATGACCCGATCAGAAAAGTTGTTTGTTGATGTCTGCCCAGTTTGTCTACATTTGTCTCTTTGCCTTCAGTTTGATATAATATAAATGCTAGAAATGCCTAAAGTAATAATTTTGCGAAAGACGCGAAGTTCGTAGAAATTCTCAAGCTCGAGCTCTGTATGTTCTCACTGTTGACAGCGACACTCCGGGTTGTTTATTCAACAAAATTCGACTAGACATAAGCTACTAAAGCTTTAGTTTTTTTCTCGGTAAGATTCCAAGCGTGCAGTGTAAATCTTCAGTGGGTTTCATGCAAGAAGGGGAATTTCACTGAAAAACTCTCAGCGAAATGCAAGCGTGACCACATCAACTCACTTTTCCCGTGAGATCGGCCGATTTGAAATCCCAATTCTTTCCGTGTCCGCTATCTTTAGACTTCTTAAAGCTCGGTTTAAGTTTGTGAATGAGCACTCGACAAGGCGTTTTTGCAACTCCAGGCGTTAAAGACTACAAAATAAAGCTTAGCTTTTTCTCGTGGAATAATTTTGACACGTCCATTATACAGCTTAGCCACCCTTTCAATATTTGCACTTTCTCATTAGCGAATTGGAAATGTAACCAACAATTATTACTTTTCACTTTTTCGCTCTTTTGTTTGCTTCGGCAATTGTGCTTAATGTACGAGATTTATGTGGGAAAACTAATCTGAGTTGCGGATCCTAAGTAATTGGGTTTCACAGAGAAACCGGTAATCTGGTGATAAAATATCCAAGTCGCACGGGGGGCTAAATTTCCTTTCACTGTTTCGTCGGCGCAGAAGCAACAACAAAAACTTGACATTATATCGTTCATGGTATGGACAAGGACAGAAAAGATTCACAATTCTGACCTTCCAGTACCAGAGAAATTCTACTCTTTCAATGCCGAACTTCTCTTCCAATTTAAACTAAGCCTTTTCAAATGTTTATTCAACAACGTACTCAGTGTTTTTTAACAGTTTTATCTCGCTCAAATGTAAGCTCGGCGCTCACCTATGCTATTGTGTATTGGAAGTCACGTTTTTAATCAGGTTTCTTCCTTTTTTCCACATGAAACGTTATTTCCCGTAGCATTCGGAACGAACTTATCTCGTAAGTGCAGGTTTTCAGCTGTAAGAGTGCCGGCTCGTGTAGGAGGAAAGCTGAAAATGTAAAGCATGAAAAATATTTCACTTCTTAGTCAGTGTTATATTTAATTCAGTGAAAAAAGTTGTCGGACTTTTGGAGACAGACAAAATACGTGGTAAGGAGATTATGGCATTCACTACGGTTTATGAACCAACCAAGATAACTTTTAAAATGAAATTCAAAAACTGAATTTTGAGACTGAATACAGCTTTATTTGTTGAGTAAACAAATTTGGCATTTCATGTGGACCCACCTATTTTAATTGGCAGTTAATTAAGAACAAAGCTAAGAAAAGAACAGACAGTTTAACCATAGGCAAATAATCCAATTACGCCTAAAAGTTATTTTGCCTTTCACTTTATGTCATATTGAACAGTACTTTTAGCGTCTTAATTATGTTTTGCATAATTTTTATACAGCCTTTTGTTTTGAACTTTTATGTTATGATTCATGGCTTCAGCATTGCCTAAAATTTGCGTTGCGTCATTCAACTGACCTAGAATGCCAAGATTTGCTAGTATATTTAAATGAAAAACCTACTTGGTGAATTTGATGCAGGCAATTTGCAGCTCCCTTAAGTTAATTATAATCCATATTTTTTTTTACCACCTTTATTGTTTTCTTTGGGTTTTTAAATTTACATACATGTATGTTATATCTAAATGGAAATATAAGTTCCAAACCACTAATTGAGTACTACTTAAGTATAAAAGCCCTATCAAGGACCTCCTGGGTTTGGAAGGGTAGAGGGAAGTAGTGGAACAGAGGGCACAAGCTATTAATTTAAAACACGGTCACTCCGTACATAGTTAATACAGGGGAATGGTTTTAAAGGGCAACAGAGTTCATTGCTGTCTGTTTTTGTTCCCTTTTTTGGCCTTGACCATGCACAAAACACAAGTTGTTTACTTTTGTCTGAGGTACTAACCAACAGAAACGTTTTGGTTATCCAACTCATACATAATGTATGAATGCAAGACAAAAGATTGTGCATGGTCATGGACCTTCTAACATAAACCTTGTTGTCTTTGTTTAATCCTTTGTTGTTGGCTAGGATTTGTAACCATTTCCCTCTATTAACTGTGCTCAGTATAGTAGTGTTTTGAAAAGATATGGGTATTTATTATTCATCTTGTAATAATATGCATTAGTCATGCCATCAAAATAGATTTAGCTGAAGTTTCCTGTTTAGAACACTTTTCACAGAAAACAACACCAAAAAAAAATAATAAATGTGGTGGTTTGTTTTTTTTTCCTTCTGCAAATACAAGTTCACAAAAGACTACTTAATTTGCACTTAAAAGTACATAGTGAGAAAAAAGGGAATCAAACAGCTACTAGAAAAAAGGTGTCCACAGTTGCTCTTCTATAAGTTGACGAAGTTGTTTGAACCATTTGATATAGTGAAATTGAACTTAATTGTTCTTTTTTACCATATGACATTCAATCTGAAAAGTTTTTTCTAACTTTCAAAAGCAAGATGTCAAGAAAAGAAATCACAGATGTTAGAAAACCCAATCTGAAAATTATGGCATTGGTCGACAAATTATTTCAAAATCTTTTAACTCGATATCCTTGCATATGTACATAATAATTATATGCATTTTAGTACAGTGAGTTTATGGGTACATGTGATGTTAGTCTGGTAAGGGTGGAGCTTACACTGATTTAGAGGACAGAATGTTTTGGCCAAACTTTCAATGTCTTCCACTTAAATTAACTAACTTTTCATTTGACACCGCGTAATATGTTATTGTCACTCTTTTTTGCATGCATTTACCATATTTATCATATATGAAACTATTTTTTTAAAGACAATTGGAAACTGTTGACAAAAGATACCATTGAATATAGTTAAGCTTTTATGACACTTAATTTTGAGGGGTTTTGTTTTAATTGCGAACATTGTGAAAATTATAACTCCCAAAACTGCAGCAAAGGAAGGTGCTTTGTGGGTATTGTATGAAAATTAACTATTTTGGCCACCTTAACAGCCTCACAAGTCATTCTTTCCCCTTCTCCATTTAATCTCCTCAGACAATTTTGAACAAGAAAATAATTATATATTTACAGTTTGATAAGGCTACATATAGTTTAAAAGTGACGTTCCTCATCTGTACTTTTATTGGAAAAATTAACTGTTTTATTCTGAAAGTCCTGAACAACTTCAAGCATAACTTGACTTCCAACAAATAATCAATGAAATGATAGATGTAGCAAACTGTACCAAAATGAGCTGATGTTTATTTTACATTCCATACTACAAAGGTAGTATATTACAGTAAGTCTATCTAGATGTAAGATTTTCTTCCAAAAGTATTTATCTCTATTGCCCTAATGTATAAAACAAGGGCTGTTTCATTCCGTGAAGTTTATTTTAAAACATTTTTTTATTATTATTAAGATTGATCGGTCTTCAAATGGGGTATGTATGAAAACCTTACAAAAGAAGCGATGGGACAAGGCTGTTAGATCGTTACTTTAATACGGAATATTTTTTCAGTACCATTCCACTGCACTCTTTTTTTATATAAATTATATAAGAATATATTTTATAAGAATATTGAGGCTTAAATATGGACATTTTAAAAATGTTTTAGGAATAAACAAGAGGCTGAGATTTTGAAAAGAAGTTAAACAATATAATTTTGTGTGTTGAAAATTTGTGACTACCAAAGCGCAAAACTAGCCAGAAAGCAACAAAAAAAAAACAGCACTAGCCAGGCAGGCAATCTGGCTACAAAATTACTACACCAAATACATTTGAAAACAGAAATGTCATACGCTATGATCTAAAAATATTCAAAAGAATATTTTCATCCTAAAATTGGCAGAAAAATAAGAATATACAGCCTTGGCCGGAAAAACAACACTCTAATATAAAAGATTATAGTGTATTAGCTTTTAGGATTTTTATCTCAAAATTGTGCCTTCATTACATATATAGATTGTAACGGTTTATAAAGATTGCATTGTACCGTAGAAAAATTATTGGCAACGGCCTTAGGTCGGAGACTTATTAGCAGGAATTCTACAAATTGTTATTTTCTTTGCAGCACTACCAACACTGCACGTCCTGTAAAATGGCTGACAACTCTCCATTGAAACAAAACAAAAGTCGAAGCGTTTATTGATCTGGTTGGTTTACAGAGCATCGTCCACACCCTAACACTCGACTAGCACCCTTTAAACGTTGTGATTTTGCCATGAAAATTATGAATCGAAACGCATTACATTCACTGGCAAGTTATTGTCTAAAGTCGTTTTGCCCTCCCTCGCGTTGGAGAAGGAAATTATTGAATGCTAAGAACGCTAGTAATGAAAAATCTTGTATCGAACCGATTTGCGTGTGACCTTTGTCAGGTGTAAGTGTTTGTTCCAGTTCTCAAAACAGACAAGCCAGAAGAATTGAGAAAAAGCAAATATGTCAGTGATGTCATACAGTCGACTTCATTTAGTCACGTAGCGTACAACATGAACTTAAAACTGTAATGTGAACATCTTCCACGTTTTCCGCGATGTTTTTGTGTCTTTATTTTCGTTTTGGACGAAAAGTTTGGTTACGAAAGTTCCCACTCGTTAGCGCAAGGACGTAAAAATGCGAACTTCGCTAAATAATACCGGATGAGCTGGGCTTTCAACTAGTCACGATGTCTGACTCAACGGAAAAGTTTATTTGCCAAGGATTAGTCCCTCAAAATAACAACAGGGAAAAGTCTTGCATATTTGTGATAGCTGAATGATACAGTCACTACGTGAGTACGGGATGAAAACTGAAGGCCTTATCTATTGACGCAAACACGGATTCTTACGCGCAGAACGTTTGATTCTTTTGTTGCAATAATCACAAATGGTGATCTAATTTCGTGTGTTTGTTTGACACCAGTTTCCTAAGATTGCCTCGTTGTATCATTCATGCCCGAAATTAGCATTTCAATGACTAGCGTAGTATTTTTCACACCCAGTGTTTGTATTTTCCGGTAAAAGATGATTAAAATTAAATTTCTTTTCTGCGCTTTGATAGAAGAGTGCGTAGTTTTGTGAATTTGAATCGACCTAGTGCGAAGCGGACAGAAAACGTGTCTCACTCTGTCTTTTTATACTATGACCCGTTTGGCCACGTTAGCTGGTTTGATTTTCATCACACAATCAGCGTGTTACGGTAGGTTAAATCTCTTTTAGGGGGCGTTAATTAACGAATTTCCAGAATCGATGTATGTTATTCAGTGACCACAAGAAAAATTGTCTTTGAAAGATATGTTAAATCTCGTCGACTTTTACAGTGATTTTAGCCATTCCCTTAGCGTGCTAGCTGACGGGAAAACTTTTCATTTTACATTTCTCTCCAACCCGGGTATTGCTATGCTTGAAAACGTGAAAATCATACGATTTACAGTTGTTGTCAAGATGTTTTAGTACTCGGTTTTCATTGCTACTTTGTCCTATACGGAACATTTTCTGAGCGACAAAGTTTCTTTGGTTTGCGGGTTGCGTTGATTTTCAATTTTTACGAGATTAGTTTCTCTCTCTTCCGACTTAATGTTCTATTTCAAAGGTGAACTCAAATGAAAATATAATACCGAATGTGTATTTACACTTCTTGCTACCATGTACTGCGTAAATCTTAAAGAGCTCTTGCAAAAAACGCTGAGAGACATTGGCGCAACAATTCAAACGTTTCTCTACTTGCATTTCTCAGTGTTTTCTTAAACTTCAGTGATTGCCTTGCTTTTATAAACCATACAGGGTCGTGTTTACCCCAGGGTTTTGCTTTCTATTAATTATAAATATAAGTGAATACATCTTTTTATTTTGAAGGCTGCGTGGCCGAGTGGTTAGACTTGAAATCCGGAGGTTGCGGGTTCAAGTCCCGCTCTGACCACTAAGCTGGAGTTGTTTCTCGGTAGACCCTCGTTCAACTCCTTGGTCACTCCCGTCAGTTGGGATTTTTAAGGCTAATGTATTTATTTGATATATTTGTTTCTTTCAGTTTAGGAGGCATGCATGTGAACTAGCTATGTATAGCTAAGCACATTGTTTGACCACCAAAAACAACAGCATTTGAACGCATCTGTTTTTTTATCTTGGTAGCTTGTTCCACAGCTCTGGGAATGCAGAAAGGTCATAGTACGAGTATTGGTGATAACCAGATCTCGGCTTCCTCACAATCATCTCTTCAAGCCAGACCATCTCTGGCAAGATTGAACGAGGATAGGGAGTAAGTTACTTACCTTAATAGACACTAGCGCGCTTTGCGGGTAGAAACCCTTTTGGAACTGGCCAGTTTTGCACAAAAACAACCTTAATGTTGCTCAGTCACGGTATTTTGTGTACTTAATTTTTGCCACGTACAAAATTACCTTTAAATTGAAGGAAACCTGAAAATAATAGTTTACTAAGATAGAAAATCACCAAAGAGATAATAATACACCATAAAGGAACAAGGATGATAAAGGATGGAGAAGATTAATACGGATTACAAACGACGAACTTGAAAAATTTAGGCTAAACTTTTCAAGATGCGCAAACCGTGACATAGCTCCTTTAACGTTCCGAAGTTCTGATCCGAAAACAGGAAACATGTTTTTAACAAAGTGCGAAGAAATCAGCCAATTCACGTACGTCTTATATAAAAGGTAACCTCTTCCAGGCGTTCAGTTAGTAAGGGTGCAGCGCGAAAAACGGCGAGTGAAAAATAGAGGAGGAGCGCGACGAGAGAAAGCTTTCTCTTCGCACTTCTTCCCTGTTTTTCGCTCGCCGTTGTTCGCGCTACGCGAACGCCCCTACGAACTGAACGCCTGGAAGAGGCTATATAGATGAAACCAGTTAGGATGAAATGCAGTTATTGAAAAGTGCACGTCTTAACAGAGAAATGAGTTTTCTTAGTCATTAGCTAGTGCTGTAAGTTATCTCCAATGGCCTTCTACTGAATGACAGATCGTGGCGGTTATGTACGCAACTTCGGTAGCTCACCATCTACGGGTATATTAGGAACTCACAACGTGACCACCTCCCAGTTCGCTTAGAGCACTGCAGCGGTATCACGTAGGTCAAGGGCTCGAATCCCGTTCAAGCCTGAATTCTTTTCGGGTTTTATTATCGCAGCTGCCTAGTCTAGGATGCGTACAAAACTGCGATTATCTAGAATGTCTTTAAATCTTTATCACGTTATTCAAGTATATAATCTTTCATATATTCATTGGTTATAATGACTTATTATTTAAAAAGTGTATATGGTAGTTTGAGTACGTTTCTAAACGACTATATAAGGTAACGTAAACAAAGTCTGCATGCGAGCCAAGTGGCCCATCAGGCCGGCGCTTATCTCCTGTTTTAGTAACATGAAGCGACAAAGAGTATGGTTGTGCTCCCAAGCATGAAATTCGCCGGTACCCATATATACACAGTACGGTGTCCCCGGCCAGGGCTCGAACCGTGCGAGGCGAGCGCTTTAACCATGAGGCCACCGCGACTGCATCGAGACTGCACATCCGATCTAAGTGGTATTATATGTTCTTATTCTAGTCTTGGAGGATGGTGTGCACGTGGAGAAGATAGAAACCCGTATCTTCAAATCGACCTGCTGATGCCTCACACCATCACCAAACTGGCGACACAGGGAGCTTCGAACAACTGGGTGAAGAAATTCAGCTTAGCCTTCAGTTACGATAACATTACTTGGTTTAACTACACTGTCAACGGGAATCTGAAGGTAGATTTAGTGGTGACAAGTGGATTAAAGGATCTGTAAGGTCCTCTCTTGTTTTGTGTCTTAGATCGTGTTCTATTGGGATCAACCGTTTCTGGTTGGTTGGTTTTGTTAGTTGTTTTTTGTTGTGTTGTAATGGGGAAAAACCGTTTTCGATTGGTTTAGTTGAAAAACCTTTTCGCCTCAAACCAGGTTGAAACGATTGAAAAATCATTTGCGTGATTATGTCGCCCCGTTGTAGCTCACGTAACGACTATTTCCTGGAATTTTCGCGTTTCAACGGAGAACGGTTGGAAAATTGTCTCATTAAGACATGTCAAAGGCATCAAGCCAAACCGGTTGTGATTGAAACGGTTGATCCCAATAAAGCACGACCTTATTTTATGGTCCTCATTACCTTATTCCTGACGAAACTGTATTTTAATGTTTCGATCGAGGAGCTAATAAACTTTTGAACTGTAACAGTAACGATGGCCTGCGGGCAGGCTTGCGTTTGGAGAACCAAGGGCGTAGTTAGGGGGGTCCTGGGTTTCCTGTGACCCACCCCACCCCCCGTTTTCTAAGCCTGAAGCAAACAACCTACAACAGGTGGAGAAAACGCCATGACAATCTGGCGAGTACCCTCACTTGACACAGTGTGGCCCCCCCTTTGAAAAATTCCGGCTACGCCCCTAAGAACATACGCGTTTCCGCGCCTCCCAGGCGGACTGCCTCGCTCGCCAACTCGCTGTCCGCTCGCTGCGCGCGTGTGACTCAAAGGTAAGCCTGTTTGACGGCTACAGCAACAAGAAATACATGGCTAGAAGAAAGATAGACGAGGGCTTTTTTCTAGGCTGCTCGTGAACTAACCAAACGCTTAAAGTAGGCTACTTTTCTACCGCCTCACTTAAGCCGTTTAAGAATAGACATTCTACACAGCGTTTAGTTTTTCATGCTCGCCGGAAGCCTGTTCACGGGCTGTCTTGGCACCCTCATATCTTTTAGCCAATACCGTCACCCCACCCTCCTCCCAGTTCGTAGAGAAGGGATTGCTTGACGATGAACGAGCGTTGCTTGACCAGCCAAATTTTGGCTGAGGAGACCTTTAAGAGAAGACAACTTGATGTTGTGTTATTTTTCAGTATTTTAAGGGTCCAAGAAACCAATATCGGCCGGCATGGAATAGCCTAACACAGCCACTGACGGCTCGCGCTGTTCGCTTTTACCCCGTGTACGATCCTAGGATGTCATCCTGTCTTAGGGTGGAGCTGTATGGCTGTCTACCAAGTGAAGGTTAGTACACACGTAATATGAACGATCATTTCCTGACATACATTTAAATGATAGCCTCCTTAAGGTATGCAGACCCGTCACGCTTTGGGCAAGGTAAGATGCGTGATTAGGCTACTTGTTTTCAAATGTCAGTCGAACAAAAGTGTTTAAAACGTTGCTACTTCGTTAACTTGATAGAAGCTACTTTAAGAGACTTCTTCTCGGATAACTGATTTGTAGTAATCAGAAGCTTGGAACTTTGGAGAACTTTCTAAATCTCTAATTGCCCAGCCGAGGGAAAACTAAGAAGATCGCACTATGCGAACTACAGAAAACACTGCAATCGAAAATGTGGCTAACGTGTCGAAGTCTTGTAAAAGTGAAGGCAATGAACATCACGAGTGGAGCTGTTTGACCGCCTTCTGTGTCTTTGAATTTGCGAGTTTCGCGTGAAGTTACAACCGATCAGAAACGTGGATCCTGTTCTCCACAGAAGAACGTCACTAGAAATGAGCGGGCGAGAAGAAACCTTTCGTTTATGCGGATAAAGAAGAACAACTGAATCTCGGAAACTTTCACCTTTCATTTTGAACATCGAAACTTGTTTTTCTCTTCCTCGGGATTCTTCTGAGGTTAAAAATGATTTTAAATCGGCGTTTCGGCTAGCTTTACTGGGCATCTTTAGAAAATTAAGAAAGTAAAAGACAATATGGCGGACTGAAGAAGCAGATGTTTCGAAGTAAGAACGTCAGTCCGCCATATTGACTTTTACTTTCTTCATTTCAGTTCTGAAGAAAGCAACTTAAGCTAGCGGAATCTTCGGGTTAAAATCATTTTAAACCTCGACCCGAGAAAGAGGGAACAAGTTTTAATTAAAGGAGAATAGGTTAGCAGTAGTCTTTTATGAAAAAAGACTCTTCCCTTTTTCTCTTACATTTCGCAGACTGTAACACTCCAGTCGGCGTTGAAAGTCGCAAGATCTCAGACCAGCAGATATCCGCCTCATCTCACTGGAATCAACATTACGGCTCCAATGGTCGACTTAACAATAAAGCCAGCGTCGACAGCTCCGGTAATCTGACTTGGGGAGGATGGTGTACAGATAAGCTTGATAAGAATCAGTATTTGCAGGTCAGTGTTAGTGAAAAACGTCCTTGCTATGTAAACATTGTGCTTAGGCTAATTTAGGAGAGTTGGACGGTCCAGGCCTGTCCCGTCCCGCGTTGTCCCTTTCTTGTCGCGTCCCGCGTTGCCCCATGCTTGTGCCGTTCCGCTTTGTCCTGTGCTTGTCCCGTCCCGCGTTGTCCCATGCTCCCGCCACTTCGTCATCAAATCAGAATTAAAATCGAAACCAAACGTGAGCGACTCACAAGTATTTTCCCGCGCTTCGCGTCAGTTGCATGTTGCGTGCATTTTCGAGTTTTGATCGGTTCAGAGAATTGTCAGTGTCCTTTTTGACTGGTCAGGGAGATTACTTTGAGTAACACCTACTTTGAGTATGATGTTACGACACTCAGCTTAAAGCCGTTTTACATTACTTATCAGTGATTGCTCATGTGGTGTCATTCAGGTTGATCTGGGTCGAGTGCGGTCCCTCTCCGGAGTAGCAACCCAAGGCTACATGTGGGGAATGTTTGTATCCAGTTACAGGGTGAATTACAGCACTGATGGTTACACGTGGCGCTCCTACAAGAACAGAGGAGACAGTCGCAGCAAGGTATGAGAAATCAAGTCCCCGTCCACATTACGCCGGAAAAATTTGAAAACGGAAGTTTCACACTGAAAACGCATCAAATGTTTTCCGTCCACACTACGCCGGAGGAATTTAAAAACGCAACAATCACCGGTCATTTTGGATTTACTCGGTCAGGAAAATCACGTGATTATCGTGACGCTATCGTTTTAGAAAAGCTCCGTTTTCTAAAATGCGCTCCGTCCACACGAAAATGAAAACCCGGCGTTTTCAGATTTCTCCGGTTAGAAGAGCGTTTTCGAAAAGCGCCGTTTTCGTGACGGATTAGTGTGGACGGTAGACCTAACCGTAGAAGTAAAACTGCGTTTTCAAATTTACTCCAGCGTAGTGTGGACGCTGCTTAATGCAGGGTTGTCATAGGTCAGGAAATGGATTCACGAACAAACGACAGCCACAGTTGTGCAGAAGAGCACTTATTTATTCATAACACAAGAACTCTGTTTTTGCGGATCAAGTCTACTCCTCGGTTTCAACTTAAACTTACTATTGGCGGTTAAAGAGGGCGATAAAGAACTCAATATAGATAATCATTTGACTTTTGTAGCTTATACGTAGACAGTCAGTGGACTGGTCACGCGTTCCTCCGCTACAAGCTTGCGTGACGTGTCGGAAGAGCTTCTTGCAAGGTGGCAAATAAATGACTAAAATACAGTAAATCCTGTAGAAAAGTTTGGTTAACTTGGAATTTGTTTTGCCTTTAGACTTTTCACGGTAACTGGGACAACGAAACAGTCATAAAGAAAGTGTTCTCGAGGAGGATATTTGCGCGTTACATTCGCTTCAACCCTGTTACTTGGAACGCAAATGGCTACATCTGCATGCGAGTTGAGATCTACGAATGCCTTCCAACCAAAGGTAAAGCTTGATATATTCCTGGACAATCAAGCAATCAAGTGTTTGAAAGCGGAATTACTTCATTATATACTAAATCTTTTTTTAGGCTAATGACGACATTTCTAAGTTAGGCTGAAACAGAAATTTGTCTTCGCGTATTTAGTTCTTGTCCAGTCGCGATACTTCCAAGCTGATAGTGATGACGTCACTCTGCTACGCCGCCTATGATTGGTTGTTTCTTGATTTTGAATTTTTGCGCGCAAGTAACAACCAATCAAAGACTCTGCACAGAGCTTCGTAGAGTTGCGTCATCGCTGTGGAATTTTTCGTTTAGAAGCTCGGACGGCTCTCTAGTGGAGGAAAACGGATTACGCCAAGAGAGTCAGACACTTCTAAGTTTTAAGTGATATACCTCCATGTTCATTTATAAGGAAATAACAATGTTTACAGAATACTGATATATGCGTTAACGAGTAAAATAACCCTGAAAAATAAGTTCTTACAACGTTTACAAGAGAACTTCTCGTCCAAAACTCGAGCTCCAGAAAGTTAAGCACATACCGTAAGAGACACGTAGTCCAGTTTTGGCGCTCTCTCTGACACGTAACGCTAAGCTATTTCCCTAGCGTTGCGTGACATAGAGAGAGACAGAACTGGACTTAAAAGTCACCGTGCTTATCACAACAAGAAAATCAGTCGAACAATTTCGTTCTGTTTTCGTAATTTCGTTTCTTTAAGGTCGTACATATTTGATTTTGTTTGACATTGATCCGTTTGCATTTTAGTTTTTTCGTTTAATTCATACAGCTTAAAAGTCTCGTCATTTTTTGGCAAAAGATGTCGCCTGCTGTTTTAAAGAAATCAAGGTTTATTTATCGCCACACAAGTGTTTTGAACTAACTTTTCCTGTGACGCTGACGAAGATTTTTTCTCAAACTTTGTGCTCTGTTCACTGGCAGTATGCCGGCATATTGAGATAAATGTTAAAACTAAGGATCTGTGAAGAATATTTAACAGTGACATAGCTGAATCCGAGTAGGATAACAATTGTACTAGTAGTCACAATTTATAATAAAGAGCTTTATTATCCAACTCGACTCAGAGTGCAAGTAACGCGCCCAACGAGTACAAATATTTCGCGATATTTGTATTGTGGGAAACCGGTTTAGCAGGTTGGTTGTGGTCGTTGAATCTTCCGCCGCGCGCAACGGAAAACTGGGTCCAAAGTCTGGATTTCGTTGGATAATAAATCTCATATTAGACCTCTTTACCTTGGGCGGTTTGTTTTTCCATTACAGACCACGTGATATTCTCTAGAGAATTTTCTTTTATACATTTGAAAATAATTCATCTACATACACGGGAAAATTTGTAAGCAAGAATTCTCAAGAGTATCTTCACATGGTCTGAAATGGGGCAACAAACCGCCCAAGCTAAAAAGGTCTATTGACTCCATTTTGTGCCTTCCTTCCAACACATCGCCCCCTCTCCTATCAATGCCCCATTTGAATCGGGATCTTTAGAAAACAGTACCAGTACTAGCTCATGTACGAGGGTAGCTTTCAAATTTTAATCCAGTTACGTTCCTAGAGCCATGACTCCTTCTTGTCGTCAACCAGTTGAATAGGAGACTTTCAGTACCAGATTAATGTGAAACGTGATAATCGAAAGCATAAGCTCTGCGTTGAAACGTGTTACTCGTAATCAATCCCCGTTCGAAAGGTCCCTGATCAGTAAACAAGCGACCCTATTCCATTGGCACACCCATTACTGTTTGAGTAAGGGATCTCTAATAATCCACCTTTATCTATTGATCACATTCTCCCTCCAGCACAGATTTGTGGGGCGAGTCTGTTTTGACAATCTCGGATTGTTTAGTCTTAGACGGGGAAAAAAAGCTCCGTTAGTACGTCACGTACCCAGCGAGTTCCTTAGCAACCTTATGATCTTGCTCCAAAAAAAGAAAACTCGCAAGGATCCTGTGTTCTTTTAACGCAATCTCGTATTATCCCACAGTAAAATTAGGGTTATCTGGGTTATATAATGTTTGTTTTCTTGCTGATATTCTTCGGAGTGGAGTAAAGTTTTGCGTGAAAACATTTTGCAAGCGAATCGTGAAGAAAACCACAAAATCGCAAAACGTTGGAACCCGGAAGATTTTTGCCACATCCTGGATTAGTGCCCGGTTCGAATTCAATTTAAAAGTGATTTGTTATCGAGAAAGATATTTATGTCAGTGACACAAGCTGTCGTCAGTTCCTGTTTCCATACCAATTATTATTTCTTTCGTGTTTCTGTGGAACATCTTTAAATTGGAGGAAAAAAATGCCGAAAGCTTAATGAATACTCTAGCGACCTGTCTGTCGGTTTCTGTAGCATGAAGTGACTAGTAGTTTAGCTGCTCCCCTCTGGTTGGGATGCTAGTCCATCGCAGGGCTACCCCCAGCATTTAATTAACCGGTACCTCTGGGTGGAGAGAGGCGAGGTGTTCTTGCCCAAGAACACAACACAATGATCCCGGCCAGGGTTTGAATCCGAACCGCTCCGCGAGGCCAGCGCGCCAACCATTAGACAACCACGTCTCACTTAAACTTAGTAAGTTAAAACTAGCAGACAAGCGTTAATCGACCTCTGGGCTTATCGTGACCTAACGGTACCTATTTTCTTGTAGGAAGCGTACCGGAAGTGAGCCCTCCGAGTGAAACAGTAGAACTGAACCGTACGAGCTCCGTCAACTTGACGTGTCTAGTTTCCGGTCAGCCGGGAGCACATATGGAGTGGTACAAGAACGGACTGCGGATCCCTGACCTGTCCATCATCCGTCGCACACAATATGGCAACGGCAGCGTAAAGAGTGTGTTGACTCTAAAACGTGTCAAGTACAGAGATCGAGGCTCTATTGTGTCCTGTACGGCCTGGTATCCTTCACTGTCGATCAATTCGACACGGAATATTCACCTTCTTGTACATGGTATGTGGTACCGCTCGTATATTGTTTACTGATTATGGAAGACTGTTAGATCCCATGGTTAAGGAGTGCTGGTTGAGACACTTACCCTGATTTAAGTGAAACTGACTCCTCTCCACACCCTATCCCCCTTCCCTTCCNCCCCCCCCCTGTGATGTTGAATTTTGGCCTTCCCACCCGCCTTACAGTAAAGCTAACGCGTATATTTAACAACATTTCTTAGTAGGCAATGACGTTTTCGACTTTGAGACAACTGTTTTGAAAAGTCTCCAACTACTTCCGACCAATGTTTTATAGTATGAGAACGGGATTTGATTGCAAGCGTTTGCAAACTACTAAAAACTAAAGCTTTATCCAAGTAATATATTTTACGTGGTTGAGTTGCTTGACTTTTGGATAGTTCTGCCTTAAGTCGTTCTCTGTAGAGGTGTAGTTTTGAATTAGATTAAGCTTGGTAACGACTTCTTCACTTATTGAGTAGACCTTGTAATGAATCATTAATTCGTTCCCAGCTCCCCGCCCTGTCATGGCTATCATTGGAATCCAGTCCCACACGGTACAGCTTCGAGTAACAGACCCTACTCCCACGGACACAGCGAAGTACATTGTGCGCTATAAAACACGCTCATCTCACTCAGACTGGGTACCAGTCTTACGAAACAAGACCAGCGCAGTTCGTGTTACAGTGATCACCTTAGACGGGTTACACCCTTACACGACGTACCTGATGGAGTTAGCGACTCAATACAAGGATGGTGACGAAGGACCGTATAGTGTACCACATTCGTTTGCGACAGAACAAGCAGGTACGCTCTTTGTTTGTAGCTGATACAAGGCTCTTATAAGATTTTTTATAGGATTTGTCGAAAGACAATAGAAAGGCGATCAGGACTGAAGAAGCAAAAGGCCCCTTCACTCGGTTTCCATTCTACACGGTTTGAAAACTAGAACAGGCTGTATAGTTATACATTTCAGCCGTATTTGAATAGTAAAATCCCTATCGACTTTGCCCGCGAAATTTATAAATACAGGAATCAAGGGACCTAAAGGTGGGGTAGAATGAAGAAAGAGGAAAGGGTGCGGGATCTGAGGGGGCTGTTAAGAGCACTGAGTCCTTGATGTTATCGATTTGGTTCTCCGAGCTTAACACTTTTCTCTTCTTGTAACCTGGACGAAAATCTGTGTTCTTATTCTGTCAATCCTGTCAATTCTTATTCTGTGAATCCGTGGAGCACTAATCGTTGTTCGTCTTGAAGCCTTTCCTCAGTCTTGTAGTTTTTTTCCCTGGAGTTATGGACTCATGAACCCCTCTTAGATCTTGAAAATTGTTGATATTTTGTATACAGAATGTTAAGGTCGATATTCCTTTCTTTCCCTCGTGGTTTGTAGCCCCGAGTGGTCCCCCACGTGATGTCGTCATAATACCGCGTGGTAAAAACACCATCAGAGTGTCATGGTCCATCCCTAGTGCCAAGGACAGCAATGGAAAAATCACCAAATACGAGGTCGTGTTGTACAAACCAAATGGCGAGAAGGAAACGTACGTGAATGAGGAGAAGACGCTGTCAAAGGACATTAGTGGCCTGGAAACTAATCAACAGTATTACGTAGGTGTGAGGGCTTACACAAGAGTGGGGCCTGGGCCCTACAGCAACAATCTCACCTATTTATCAGGTATTGAGACTAACTACATTTCAATGTTTTATTGAAAACGTCTTCTCTCAAATAAATACCTCTTAGGTTGGGAAAAATTGCGTCGTTTTTTCCTAGTAAACACTGTATTCGATAAAAACGTTAGACCTCCTGCTCTTTGCTTTAAGATCTCTTCTAAAGCACGGTGAAAAGACCCGAGTCTACTAAAACTTGTATGCTCTATTGGTGATGCTCCATAAAGGAGCTCAGTCACGGTATTTTGAGTTATTTTGGCCACGTACAAAATTACCTTTAAATTGAAGGAAACCTGAAAATCTGAGTTTACTAAGATAGAAAATCACCAAAGAGATAATAATAGACCATAAAGAAACAAGGATGATAAAGGATGGAGAAGATTAATACGGATTACAAACGACGAACTTGAAATATTTAGGCGAAATTTTCTAAGATGCGCAAAACGTGACATAGCTACATTAATAAAGCTCTGTAGGTCCTTTTGGGTGGGGAAGAATTTTCCTTATGCTTGCTGTGTGCAAACGTAAGAGTTAATGAAATTGGCCTTGACACAGACGATTCTCAATGTATTAACTCCAAAGCCAGTTCGATCAAGTTTTGTTTGTTTTATGTTAATCTTTATTGCAAATGTTACATTGAAGCTTTAAGGCTGTTACAAAATTGCGTTATTTTTGGGAAAGAGGGGCTTAGTGGAGTGGTTTTGGATTGGTCTGTACATAAGGTTTTTTTAACTCTTTGCAGAGCTTTTGATGAATAGTATTGTGATCTTTTTTTTTTCTTTTCCAGAGGAAGCTAACCAAGGATCGGAAATAACGCGTGCTTTGGAGAAACTCAACAGGGTAAGCGAAAGAATATTTACCGATTAAATGAAAGCAATTAAGACCTCCTTTGTGCACGTCACGCAGTTTTCGTCCGGCTAAAGATTGCATGACAAGGACAAAAACCTGTCACGCAACTGATGTAGTTAATAATGATAATGATAATGATGATAATAGATATTTGTATAGCGCCTGTCCAGATCTGTTCTAAGACTTTTACAAAAGTAAAATAAACACAATAAATCGCCCTTGTTGTTCATCTTTCCTAGGTCCCAGTAACGGATACCAATGCACTTAAAGTTATGAAAGAAGTAAAAAATATTACATCGAAATCTTCGGAACTGCAAGAGAAGGATATCTCCATTACAGCACACATTCTTCACAAGGTGGTCAAGACAAACACCACGTCATCTGATGTTGGTGATCACGTGTTAGACACCATTAGTCACGTGATGGACGCTAAGACTGATGTCTTGCAGAAAACGCAAAAACAGTACAACACATCCGCTAAGTAAGTATTTAAAAGCGTTTTTATATCAACAAATCATGCCCGAGAATTGAAGAAGTGGGAACGTGTTGTGATGCTAACATCCATGACCATTCAAATGAAAGCTATTGAGCAGTACTTTCATGTGGTGCTGTTTATTATGATATACAAGGTGGTTATAACTTTCAAGTCTGAAACCCTAGTGTGCGACTGTTGAAATGAAAGCCGTATTGAGTATTCCTTTTATGTGGTTCTGTTTATTATGCTGTGCAAGGTGGTTCCAAATTTTAAGTCTGGAAACCCTAGTGTGTGACCATTCAAATGAAAGATATCAAGCAGAGGTTTTAAATGTTGCTATTTTCAATACCTAAAAAAACAATTAAAAATTTCTTTGTTGTCCCCTTCCAGATTTGTCAAGATTCTTGACGATTATATCGAGAAAGGTGGAGAGTTCAGCAAAAGTACCTCGAACATTGCTGTTCACAGAGAGTTAGTTAAAGACACTTTCAGGGGTATTCATCTGACTGTTCAAACGAGCAAGGACAAAATCGCTATTAACGCGACCGTGAATTCCACAAGCGGCGAAGACGAAGCAAGTGTGACAATACCCAGGTCGGTTCTAAACTCCACTGATAACACTACGTTAATTGTTGTTTACTATCGCACAAGCGTTCTTTTTGCGCCGGAATATCGCAGAACTGAGGTCTGTGAGGATAGCTTTACTACAGAAAAGGTCTCCAAAGTGGAACGGTCGCCTCCTTCTTCGCGTTATACAATGGAAAACTCCAGTGGTGATGTTGTCACAGAGAGCAGTCCAGTGCTCGCTGCAAGTTTGAGGAAAAGACACGTGGCAAACCTCTCCTCGCCCATTATTATCAAGTTCCAAATGCCTCGTGACCAGGTGAGTTACAAAGGGTGAGAACGACTGCTGTCATTTTGGCGGGAGAAACCTGGAAGCCATTGTCAGTGTACACGCATGTAAACCCTGGTCATTTTGGCGGCAAACATGGTAAATACGCACGAGTGAACCAGGGTCATTTTGGCGGGAAAACCATGGTAATTGTTGTGAGAATACGCGCGTGTGAACCGGGGTCATCTTGGCGGGAAAGCGTAGGGGCGGCAATGCAAATGCACTAGAACTAACATTAAAGCGTTAAATGAAAAATTAATAAAAGAAATTGGGACGAATTACGAAACGTCCTTCTTACAACGTAACGTAGTGTAACATAGCGTGACTTTACGTGACATCGTGCGTTTAATGATTTACTCGACGGTAAGACCTATTGCTTTTTTTAAAAAAAAACTCTGCTAGAGCACCTTAGTAACTTGTGTGTTCCTTTGCTAAACAGATCATCGAAAACAGCACAAGATGTGTGTGGTGGGATTTCGAAAAGAGTAAGTGCGATCATTCTGTTGCTTCTTTTTGTCGTATCCAGAGATCGGTTTGGCTTTAAGTTTGAAGATGTTCTGGTTTATTCAAGGTCATACTTTGCGAGAAAAATCTTTTTCGTAAAACTAAGAGACTATGATCTCATAATCTCCCCGAGTCTCTTGGTAAAACACTCCTCGTTACAGCACTCCTTTACAAGCTAATCTGATATTTGTGCATTTTGTATTGTTTTTTAAATCCAGATGGATGGTCCAAAGCTGGTTGTTCTCTTCGCGACATAGTTAATGACACGATTATTTGCGAGTGTGATCACATGACCAACTTTGCAGCTTTAGTGGTGAGTATTCACTAGTTAACTTACTGTGACGTAACTTCCCTCACTCACCCAACCCCTCGCTCGCACAGACACGCCTTTTGAAGCATAGGGAATGTTGAAGGTTCTTTCACTCATTGCGATCCTGAAAGAAGAAGGACAGTCAAAGCAAACGCTAGAAGCAAAACGCTTTGGCTGATAATTCAATTTGAACCCAAGTTTTTAGGTCTTGGTCCATTGAACGTCCTCGTTTTCTCTTGAATTCCTGTTTGGATTCAGCTACAGCTCTTAAAGGAGCTAAGTAACGTCTGTGCTAAATCTTTCAAGTTCGTCGCTTTTAATCCCTTTTAATCCGTTTCAATCCTCGCCATCCTTGGCAATCCTTGTTCCTAAATGGTTTGTCATTATCTCTTTGGTGATTTTCTATATTAGTAAACTACCATTTTCAGGTTTCCGTCCAACTGAAGGAGATTTTGTACTGGGCCAAAACAACTCAAGACACCGTGACTGAGTTCCTTTAAACATAATTAAATAATCTCTAACATAGCGGCTTCTGTTCTTGTTTACAGGATGTCGATGGTCCTTCAACCAAGGCGTGTGGTAAACATTCCATGGTGTTGTCACTCATTAGCTACATAGGCTGCGCACTGTCTATTTTGGGACTAACGCTGACCATTTTCACTTTTGGATTTTTCAAGTAAGGCTCTCTTTTAACCCTTTTCAATTTCAGATTTAAACCTTGAGCTGGGCTGATATTTGAGTCTGTGTTTGAAACCTACGTGTGATCACTCAAACAAAAGCTATTGAGCAGTTCATGTGGTATTGCTAATTATGCTGTACAAGTTGGTTCCAACTTTAGTCTGTCTATAAAAACCAAGCGTGTGACCATTCAAACGAAAGCTATTGAACAGCACTTTCATCTGGAACTCTTTATTATCCGGAACTAGTTGGTTCTAACGTATAAGTCTGTAGATGAAACCTTAGTGTGGGGCCATTCAAATGAAAGCTGTTGCGGAGCTGTTTGCTATTTTATTCAAGGGGTTCTAATTCTATTACGTTGTAATGTAGGCAGTTAAGGCTGATTTAACTAAAAACCAAAGTATTCTAATTCTAATTCCATTTAAATGTACTATTGAATAGAAGCGTGAAAACTGAAGCCTGCTCCGAGGTCGTCTGATTGAAAGAGAGTTTTCACTTTTCCTCACATATCCATTTTCGTGGCAATCCAAAGTCATATTTATCAAAGAACAAATATATACTACACTAACCTCACATGTTCATAGACATTTGTTTGTATTTAGCTCTAATAGTGGTTTGTTTTCTTTTATATAACCACAGAAAGCTTCGAAAGGATCAGATTGCAGCCAAGATTCTGTTACACCTGTGTGCCTCGCTTCTGTGTGTGCTGATTGTGTTTGTCGCAGGGGTGGAGAGGGGTGGGGTGTCTGAGAACGCATGCCGAATCGTGGCAGCGCTCATTCATTATTTCCTACTGGTCGCGTTTTTGTGGATGTTGATCGAGGCTTACTTCATGTACCAAGCATTTGTTAAAGTGTTCAGAGATTATGGTGATTACGTCATGTGGAAGTGTGCCGCAATGGGTTGGGGTGAGTCTTTTGTACATGTCATCGATATAGTTGGTATGAGCAACATTTTAGATTGCTTTTCACTACGAGTGGTAATTGGTTTGAAAAAACTCACGCCACTTAATCAACCAACCAAAACCATCCGTCACTTGGACTCAGACATTTTCCCGCGCTTTTTGTCGGCTACATGTATTTGCTTCGATTTTTGATTGGTCAACTTGATTGTCTGAGTCCTCTGTGATTGGCCAGAGTGATTACTTTGTTGTTGGTTTAACTTTTACAACACTCTGTAGTAACTGGCATCGACAGTGACTGCTGCTGGTCATTCGAGAACTATCTTAGCTTAAAGGAGCTCAGTCACGTATTGCTGGTATTTCGTCCACGTACAAAATTACCTTTATTGGAGGAAACCTGAAAATAGTAGTTTACTAAGGTAGAAAAACACCAACTGAAAGAGAAAATAATAACCCATATAAGAACAAGGATGGTTAAGTATGGAGAAGATTAACACTGATTACAAACGACGAACTTAAAAAATTTAGGCTAAACTTTTGAAGATGCACAAACCGTGGGTAACTCCTTTATCACTTCATTGAGTAGAGGCCTCTGAAATAACAGTTTCTTTTTCTTGTTTTCTTACTCAGGTCTGCCTTTCATCGTTGTAATTGTCACTCTTGCTGTGGATAAAAGTAGTTATGGTGGAAAACACTAGTAAGTGTAATCAGAAGAACCTAAACCTGGTGTACCCCGCTATTTAAAGGAATCTTTTTTTAAAGAAATGTTTGAAGTTGTATTTTAACGCTATCGGGAATTCTGGACTTTACCGACGTTCGCTAATATAAATTTAGTAGAACCCGAGTATTAGGGTCTTAGAAAGGTTTCCAGAATAATTATTGTTCTTTACCTTTGTAGCTGTAGTGATTACTAAATTGTTTTAAATCGTGCAATTGAAATGAATGAGCAGTTTAGTACCACAGGTTTCAGAAGCACAATTTTTTCTTAGAAGTTAATGAAAAAAATTCGCTTATTTTGTCCAAATTGCACTTGAAAATATATTATGGTGCGCTATTAGTTTTGCTAGAAAAGACCGCATTCTTGTTTAACTTCATGAGTAACGTGAATTAACAAATTTTGGTATCATTTTTTTCAGTTGTCGTCTTGGAGACATAGCGTTCTTTGCGGCGTTCATGGCGCCTGTTTTGCTTGTTATTCTCATTAACACGGTCACGTTCTCGTTAATCATGTACAAACTGGCGACGCGCCCGCCAAACGCCGCTGACCCAGAACGTGGCTCCGAAGGGCTGCTTAAAATCAAAAGAGCGTTTGGAATTCTCATTCTGGTCGGCATCACGTGGATGTTTGGTTTCTTTGCCATAAGTGAAGCTCGTCTCGTGTTCCAGTATCTCTTCGCTATCTTCAACAGCCTTCAAGGCTTTGCAATCTTCGTGTTTTATTGCGTGATCCAGAAGAAAGTCCGGGAGTGTTGGTGGGCTCTGTTGACATGTAATCTACGCAGTCTCAAGAAGTCGAAGTCGCTGTTCACGGACTCCTACGACCGCAGGCGGTTGTCATCAGCCAGCAGGGTACAGCTTGATGCTATGAGGGCCAGGAGCAACACCGCTCTTTCTCAAGTGAGTCCCTCTCTGTCAGGGTTTCTGTTGTTAGTTTGCTGATATCGTCCCAGAAGTTCTTTTCGTAGCATAGGTCACGCGAGATTTGGGCGCGCGTAGGAGAAAGTTTTATCCCCGCACACACATTTCCTGTGCGCTCTCCTCGCGTCTAGCTTGTGTTACCCTGGTAGCAAACTATTAACCTTTTGTATGATGTATTTTATTTTGTTATCTATATGTTTTTCGGCCATGCAATAGATCGCTCAAGACGGGGGTAAATAATAATTTAAGTGAAATTTTAGGAAGTTTAAAGAGGGATTAAAAGTAAAAAAAGGGGTTTGGAACACCACCAGACAGTTGATTGCCCCCAAAAGGGCTCCCCGGATTGGTGGGAAACTGTTTGATGTACGTCTACCAATTTCTAACTTCAAATTCTAATTTTAAAACAGCATCAAATCTTCAAAATTTCATATTTCAATAAATTTTACTAATCCTTTGAGAAAAACTATTTATCCCCAAATATACCCAAAAATCACCAAAAAATTTACAAAACAGCCCAAAACGTAGCTACGTGAAATGAGCAGGGAGATTTTTCCCTGCTTGGAACGTGAACGAGATATTTGCATTCAAACCATAATACCCAGCAAAAATAGGGCCTTTATGTTAACCCCCACCTTAAAATAACCTCATATATAAGGCTAATTAGGGTCACTACTATCTTTTCTGTTCACTCCAACACTTTGGGCTCGTCTTTGCAAGTGTTTCGATCTAACCTCAAAGGGTCAGTAGCGATTTGAGTATTTTCACATTTCAAGTATTTTTAGGTATTTTGAGGCTGAACTCAATGGAAGCATTATTAGATGGCCATCACACTTCTAACATAATCACTTTTCTGTGTTATTTCAGGTGCTTCAAATGCCGTTACGTAAAGTGAGTAGTGTCCCGGATGTGGTTCGGGAAAAAGGTGGCACGAATAATTGTCATTACCATAGCAACATCGTTTACGAAGACGACCGACCGCGGATGCCTACTGTATCGATTGAACCAAGCGTCTATGAGCTGAGCGGAAGCCAGGCAATAGAAGTCAACGAATCTATGGACGAACTTTCTGCTGGAATGTCATATGGTTCTGCGTCCAGGTCACCAAGTCTCAGGTCTCACGCAATCACTGTCAGGCAGTCTCGAGACCCGAGCGTCCGCGGCTCTGAAGTCACGGTGAATTCTGCGAAGTCGACGCCAAAGGCTTTACGGGTACCACGCATCAATGGACTGCGTTCGGCTGGCGCTCTTAACTGGTCACGCGAATGTGTGCCCGTCAAAGAGACTCTGAAAAGAACCGTTTCACACACTCCCGAGGTCCAGAGACCGACCAATAAGGGCTCGTCTCTGAGAAGAACTAAATCTGCTTGTTCATTAGCTGATGATACACGGTTTAGCGCAGATTTTAGCATATGCAGTGATCAGACTTCATGCGAATCGTTGAGCTCAGAGGCTCAAACACCCACGATAAAGAAGCATCTTGGTCTCCCATTTGACAACCTTGGTAAGTTTGAATTTTATCAGATCAAGGAAAAAACAAAAGCTCGAGACTTCCGTTTTGTAACGTATTGAAACCTGTAAGTGCTACTCAATAGCTTTCACACAAGGAATCACACGCTAGGGTTTCATGCTCGACGGTCTTAAATGTTAGACGTTTTACAGCATAATAAGCAGTACCGCCACTTGCAAGTACTCCTCGATAGCTTTCATTTCAATGGCCACACACTTGAGATTCATATGCAGACTTAATAGAACCAACATGTAGAGCATAGTACCACATGCAAGTACTTCTCAATAGCTTTCATTTGAATGGTCACACACTAGGGTTTCATTCACAGACTTCAAAGTTAGACCCACCTTGTACAGCATAATAAACAGTACCACATAAAAGTACTTCTCAATAGCTTTCATTTGAATGGTCACACACTAGTGTTTCATTCGCAGACTTCAAAGCTAGAACCAAATTACATGAAAGTATAATTCAATTGCTTTCATATGAATGGTCACACATTTACTTAGACATCATCGAAAGTTTTAACCACCTTGTACAGCTTTAAACCCATAATCTTTCCCATGAACTTGCAAAGAAAGTGTCCTTGTTGTACATTGTCCCCTTGGGGGACTCCCTTGAAAATTGACAGAGCCATCGTTGGAAATTTCGAAAGAAACTTCCAAATGGTTCCAGAGGCTTTATTTTCTGGACGCAATTCCAATTTTTCCAATGTCAAATTAGTCGAGTTTATTGTTTTACAAGCACTGATTGCACGTTGGTCTTTATTTCAGGTGTGCAAATTGTAGGTCCACTTAGAGGTTCAATAAGAGGAATCGTTGGATATGTGGAAACTACTGTAGAAAATTTTGACTTGTTGATTGACGCCGAGAGACTAAGATCAATGTCTTCACCGGACCCATCAGTCCATCAAGTGCAAAGACATTGATAAAGACACGAAATAGAAGTATGACTTCCAAATAGACTGCGTCGAGTTGTACAAATTATTGTAAACACAAGACAATCGTTGACGATATTGAGTTTTGTTCCTGTTTTAAGGAACGTTCAACTGAGATTCTGGCAGCAATGGTCTACTGCGTCACGTTACGCTTTCTGGCGCATTGCGTGACAATCCAGGTAACGGTTGTCACGAAACGTCACGATAGGAACCCATCGTTGTCGAGCAGTGTGGATCTGCTCGTGTTTTCTTATTGGTCGAGTGGTCCGACCTGGTCGTATGCTTCGACCATTGTTTAATGACTGCGAAGTTTATATTGCTTGTAAATAATAAAATTTAATAATGTAAGCTTAGCTTCCGACTCTCCGGTTTTAAATCCTTGATTTAAGCTGGACAGATTGTTGTTCTCTCTGGAATAAAGGAATATAGATAATATCAGCCTTGCTTTTTAGTGCTTTTGTACCACCACAACTCTTCCCCTCCCCCGCCTCCAAGTATTTTTTGCAACCGCCGTTTGGGGTTACCAAGGCAGGGGCTGCGGATTTAGAAATTTGAAAGATGTTGGTTACAACTAAAAAATCTAGGAAGAAAAGGGAGATGCAGTCCCCTTCCCCTCCCCCTTCTTTATCGGCTTATGATAACGCATTTTCCATACCACTGCATATAACGGCTGCAAATTACAACTACTGTCTAGTTCTGGTCCATTCCACAAACCCAAAATTATTGCTGAACAAGAGAATTATCCATTTGTTCGTTTTTTGGGGAGACGTGTTACTGAACAAAACCAAATTTGCCTCGGCCAATTATAAGCTGTAGCTAGAGCTACTACAATGTCCAGTCGTTTATCCCGATAGACGTCATTATCACCCATAACATATCTTTTTCTAACTCGCCATTGGTCTAACCACGTCACGTGACGAAATATTTGGCTAGAATTGGGAGATAAGTTCCAAGACGATAGTTACAGCGGTTTTCAATTGAGGGTCTAAAGTAATCAGGCAATTACTTTGGTTTTGGTTTTGCTACGGTGCGAGAATGGCTGAGTAGTTTTAATTGGTATGTGTTTTGGTTTTACGACATCAAAACGTACGTTTTACGTCTACGCGTTCCGTTTTCATCAAGCATTAATAGTTTGGCGGAATTGATCTGTATTATTTCTAAAAAAATTATTTCACGTTCAGATAGTTTTCCCAAGTTCTCCCGCTGAACCAGTGCGGCCTCTTGCAAGAATACATTTTTGGCCTCAAAATATACACGGTTCAGTTTTTGTCAAAGTTTCCTCCAGAAACTTTTCGCAGACCAGCTCGTCATGAGGCAAACATTATTACTAAATTACAATTTGGAAAGAAAAAAGCCCTGCGCATAATTGCTGGCTGTACTCAAACAAACGATTGCGAAAATACATCTAATCGTATTAATGAAGTATGTGTTGGACTGTAGATCTAGCAACGAGCCGCCATTTTGAAAAACCACGTTAGCCCTGGAGGGGGTTCCCTGGGTTTGTTGTGTTTTCGCGCCAAAAACGCGGCTGCTACACCATGCGCGTCTTGTTCTACTCTCCAGTCTCTAGTTTGAAGGTCTTAAAAAATTACTCATTGAAGAAGGACAGAACGCAAACAGGCTTCATTAAAAGGTAAATTACACGTAAGCCGTTTATTGAGTGCATGATTTTGGTTCGTTTTAATCTAGCTCGGGCAGAAAAGCAATAAAATTCTCTCAAAATAGCCCAGTTCTGTTGTAAAGAATCGTTGATAACAGTCACTTGCAAGACAGAACGGATAAGACATTATCAACGGGTTCAATCGTCTTTGTATAGCCGTATGTTTATCATCTATTTTGTTATTGATAATTCTTCTAAACGCAAGCATTTGTCCTACACCGAATGATGACAACAAACAGTAGTCAAATCGGCCCGACAAATCGAATCAAGTTGACATTTTCACATTTATCGTAGGCATGAGTTGTGTTTTTCCGATTTACGTTTCGGGTTTTGGGATCAGGTTCCATTGCGTTTTGGGAAAACTCTTTCTTGACTATTTATCTTTCTGTTTATAGGTTTGGACTGAAACAGTTCAAACCATACTCTTCCAGCGACACCCCACTCATAGTGCATAGTATTTATAGTTTATAATGGAAGGTACCGCCCATGCATGTGGATGCTAGAGTTGGTAAGGGCACAGTCGTTGTAAGCCAAACTACTCGCCTGGAGATGAACCCGCAGAGGAAGCAGAAGGGAGGGCGGCCCGTGAACAGCTGACAAAGGAGGGTGGAAAGAGAGATGAGAGTGGTAGACCTAGCTGGCGACAGGTTGAGAAGTTTTGAGAGAGAAGCACAAGACAGAAGCGGATGAAAAGGTGTCATGATGACAGACCTAACGCTATGTTGGTGAAGGGATTAAGCCAGGTAAGTGCAGTCACATTGTATTCACGGTTCACGGGTGGCGAGACGGGGAAGGGGCTGTAAGGGGCCAAAAGTCGAGTCCACTCAGGATGGCGGTCAACTGAACCGGATAATATATTGAACTTCTTTTATTGAAAAACATAATTTAAACTTAATGTTTAATATTTCCTCTACTTGTTCGAATACGTAATGTTTTTGGTCTTAGCTATAGGTTTACATGATATGCTCGCCGCCATGTTTTCTTCATGTTAATTGGTAACGTAGATGAATAAAAGCTTCAAACGCTGCAAAGTTAAGCCCTAAATGATCTATAGCCTTTGAAAACAATTACTGGATTAGTTCTTGCCATGTCATCGTCATTCAGTAGCTGGCATCAGCTGCTCTGTTTGCCGCGTACCGTTCACTCAGTTCTTACACACGATATCGAGAGGTTTGTCATAATATATATTACTGGTATACCGTGGAATATCCCACCAGTCACTTGCATTTTCCTCGGTATACAAATGCAAGTGACGAATGTACAACGGCTTTCCTGTACTCTGATTGGCTGTATTTTCTATGGCATGGTATAAACAGTAATATTATGTTATCATATCGAAGGAAGTCGTGCAAAACGACAAATGTATAAGAACACCAAGGAGATAACAATAAACCAGAAAGACATAAGAATACCTAAAATTGAGGAAGACTGAGACGGGTGATAAGGGAGAGAAACGCCGCCGCTCCTTCCTCTTCTCGGGGAGGACGCCTGGGGACCGGAAACGAGAGTAAGGCGGAAATCGAACCTTCAAAATAAACCATCCTTCCAAAGAAATTGAAAATCTTTGATATATGATATGATATATGCATCTGTATCGCCCATTTTTCATATACAAATATGCTTTACATCTCTAACGAGTCTCTTCCGAAGTTTGGCTACATATTTTTCAGTTAAGCTGTACGTGACTCAGCTTGTCACTGTGTTTAAGTTAATTTTTGACATTCTAGCGTAAGGTGGCTCTTGGGTAGTCACAGGTTCTAGTTACCGCGTCGTGTAACGACCCCTAATGCTTGACAGCTTTACAGTCCTTCAGCCTGAAGAAATATCCACGCTTCGGTGAGCTCTTAAAGTATCTCACTCCACGGTATGTACCGTCAGTTCCCAGTTTGTCATCCGTTAACAACTCCACACCGGCAATGAGATGCGCGTCATCTAACGGCAAGAGAGGTAAATGACCCACCCATCTTAGGTTGCCATTCTTCAAGCCCTTCTTTCCAACCACACGGCACGCCACGTTCGAGCCAATTAGCTTGGAAAATCGCTTGTCTGTGACGGCTACTTTCATTGGTACATCTTTCTTCGCCTCCACGGGTGCCGGCTTCTTCTCAATTTGAACAGTGTTCTGTTTAAGAGGTTTCGCATTAGTTTTGTTGCTGCTAAGTTTAGCTGGTGTCTGAACACTGGCAGGTTTGACTAGTTTAGCCGGTTTCTGGATAATAACCGGTCTGTCCGGTTCCTGTTTGGTACGTGAAGAGTTCTCGTCACCACTCCCTCCTCCTTCTCCTGACGAATCGTCTGTTTTGTTTTCCTCGATCGATCCACTCCCCTTCGCAGTTTCCTCGTGAAGTAGCTCTTTCTCGAGAGACAACCTGGTCCTTAAATACAAGCAAGCAGAAAATCAAACAAAAATTGTTACATGAAGTATGGAAGGTCATCTGGGAACCGTGACTGTTAATATAACAGAGTTGAAAACTAAATTTTCACAGCAATCGCCATTCGGCAAGTGACTCTCAGAACTCACTCGCCCGGTAAAATTTTCACTGGCCCAGAAAGATACCTCCCCTTCACCCAAAAAATTTCCCCAATGGTTTTCGATTCACAAACCAAACGGTTTTTTTTTTCGGTATCACGTAATCAAGGACACCCAGCTTGCCATTTCGTGTTGAACTTTCTTGTTCTGGTCCATTTTCGAGACTCCTCATATGGATCACAGACCGATTTTACTGATTAATCCTCGTCTTAATCATCAACTGTGCTTTTGACACTCCTTGGAATTATTTCCACATTTCCGTAGCTTTACTGAAAAACAGCTAACTGAAGGACAGGGAAATCACCTGATTATCGGGACGTCATCGTTTTCGAAAAGCTCCGTTTTCGAAACGTTTTCTGTCCACACTAAAACGCAAAGCCGACGCCTGCAAATTCCTCCGGTTTGAAGAGCGTTTTCAAAAAGCTCCGTTTTCGTGACGGTTTAGTGTGGACTCCCCCGCCCCTTACCGCCCCACCGAACTCTTTTTTGGGATGAACCTTGACTGGACTCGACAGAGTGGCATAAATCGAGCCTACCTTCTCAATCAAAACCTTTTATTTCCTGAATTTTAAAAGCTAGCATACCTGTCGTCGAGCCCGGGGTGTAGGATGTGTCTTTTGAACGACTGTTCGTCTCTGTCATTATGACTTATTTGTATTAGATGTTCCCTCGGATCTCTGGTTTCATCGGTTATGTAGCTTCCAGTCTGTGTAACAAATGATAAACACAGTAACCTTCAGTGAAACAACGCCTATCCACCAACGAAAGTACTCCCTCCAAAAGGAAGTGTTCCGAATGTCAGGGCCGGGTTGATATAAAATACGACCAAAGTTAGCTTGGTTGATAAGTGCTTTATAAGCCTACTTTATGATATCAAAAAGACCTGTAGATTCTCCCTCCCCCCTCCCCCCCCCCCCCCCCCCCC